CGCATCGTCAGGATAGGCGGGGTGTCGAGGACCCATGACCATGTTGCCAGTAAGCCACTTGGTGTCAAATTTGCCTGGCTCGATGATGACGGCCTTGATGTTCCAATCGGGCAACACCTCCTGGTTGGCGGCGAGAGTGACCGTTTCGAGTGCTGCCACTTGACATGAGAGGTGGGAAGACACACGCCGCGATGTAGTACATACCAGACTTCGCAGCAGAATAGAAGCCAAAGCCAGGCGGACCAACGTACGCCGTAATAGACGATATCTGCAGCACACGCCCACCTGAACCCTTCGGGTTCACCTCGCGGAAGAAGCGAATGGCCTGAAGAGTCCCATCAGCGCTGCCTCCGGCTCGACTAAGTATAATGTGATAACGTACATGCTTCGTGATATTCACCGGACCCCAGAAGAGCGTCTCGAAGATAGGGCGCGCGATTTCGTCTGGCGTGGTCTCAATCTCGCTCTTGAGCCCGTACCCAGCGTTGTTCACGACGACATCTAGCCGTCCAAAATGTTCCTTGATGGTGTCGAACATGGAAGCGATCGCGGTAGCGTCTGCGAGGTCCAGTTGAACGACGAGCAGCTGGGTGGTGGGATACTGCTTCGTGAGCTCATCAAGCGACGCGGACGATCGCGTCGTTGCAACCGCCCGCTCGCCCTTGGCAAGGACCGCCTCAACGAGCGCGCGTCCAAGACCGCTAGAGGTCCCAGTGACTTCGACAATGTCAGAGGGTAACGCGACGTCGATAAGGTACCGTGCATACCAAGCCAGACACGCGTATCGGTGGACATCCTGCTAGTGCTGATATCGATGGGAGGATCGCGAACGAGTCTGCCAATTCGTATGTTCGGGTCCTCGGGGCTTTAATAGAGAAGCTGCGGTCGCCCAGATGGTGGCCGTTCAAGTAGCTTCCTTCTCTCGCCACTGCGTGAGACGCAAACGGGAGGTGCCGATGATATCTGTCATATCCTATGCTTTCTTCCGCGTCTTGATTGCAGTTGATAGCATCCAACCCGTCGGCGATGTATGGGAAAATTCGAGAGGCAAGTCTCGCGTTTCATACTTAGATCCGTCTCGCCTGATGTCGAGAGTCATTCGTTCTCTGGCGCCAGGCATAGATGATGGGTGGCTGCTCGATCATCATACCAGTTGATGAAGGGAGCGCTTGCGAAGGTACCCACGACCTTTGAACGTATCGATGGTGGTAGACTCAAGTCCGGAGGTCCAGGTGGCCCGGCAAAGTTTAATACTCCAGTATCAAGTAGAATAGTGACGATATCATTGTCTTCGGCCGTCGATGCATAGCTGTGAGAGATGGTGGGCGTTGAGAGTGAAGAAGCACGCGCGGGCGCGGTGGCACTGCGCCGGCGCCCAGCGCGCACGAGCTTGACGCGTTGGCGTTTCGCGGCTTGACCTCGACCGCCACGCAGTTTTGCGAGCCCACGATTGCTCCTAGAAACCACTTCCGTCGCAGCATACCTAGTTTGACCGATCTCCAGGTCATAAAACACGCATGAACTTTTGTCGTGCAGCGTGATGCTCGAATTATAAGCATGCGTGCAAGCACGCGTACGGCGACAAGATTGAACGCAGCTCGTCTCAGCTGGCATCGATTCGCTTCACCGTGAATAAGCTTCGCAGAGCAGAATCTCGCTTTGGACAGCTTTCGCAAGGCGAGACGTCAGTTTGTGCTCTGCCTGGTGACTATGGAGCTTGCCGTCGTCAGGCTGGTTTTCCTACGGTCATAACTTACTAATGGAGGGATGCTTTGGTACGACGTGAAAGGGAGGGGAGCTTGAGGTGAGTGAATCGTACACGCGCCTCCACTGGGACGACTGTTGACGGACAATATAGACGCGCCGTAGTCAATCCGAGAGGTTTTGTATTCGTCCTGGAGGTTGTATTGATACACTGGACCGCTAACGCGAGGTTCGAGGAGTATAGGTATGCACACTGAGACATTCGCATCTAAAGTGAATATAACGTTCCAGTTCTTGTGGTTAAAGGCTGACGGTGCATGCATAGCTCGAAGAAGACACCCACGGTTGATCACAGACAACGTCGGGATACAACGTCAGTAGCGGGGAGCAAGATGAGCGAGAGGAATTCGAACGGATGGGATGAAGGGCGTGAGACGGGACGGGATGATTGTACACGCTCGAGACGACCCAGTCGCTTGGTCGAGGCTCAAGTGAACCTCAACACAACATGATGCGTTACAATGGCACGCCTCCTCGTCGCATCTCATATAGCACTGTACTGATGGTGTGCGTTAGTTGTCCAAGTCGCTGGTGGAACAACAAGCAGCGTCGGTCTGCAAAGGCGCATTGGGTCGACGCTCCTCTGACGTCTATAGTCATAGGCGAATCGTCTCCTGAGAGATCGCCGCTCGGGTCATAAGGACGACAGCCCCCACAACTAGTACGATTCCTTCCGCATTACCTGCCTATACCTTACTGATCAGTGTCATGAATAAGTAGCCCTGTGCAATGTAGCATTACTCCGCACGGTCAAAGGTGGCCTGGGACACGATCTCCGAAAAGTCTTCGAGCACACGCACACAAGGAGCTGTGCCTGGCGGCCGCTCACACCCGATACGTCAGTCTCTAGCCTCGAGCCCGTGGTACAGGGGCGCGCACAAGCCGGACAGGCTTGAATCCTAGATAACTCGGCCTGTTCCTGCGACCAGGGATGGCGGTGGACAGGAGGACTGGCCACTTGAGCTTGTGCTCCTCTGCCTGTCACACCGACTAACATGGCGTCTTCGTCGCAACCGACCGTGCCGCCCCAGCGGGGCCTGCGTGGATGCCGGTGAGCGGAGTACCCTGTGGGCATGCTCTGTTGTGTGCTGCCAAGGTATGTTCTTCCCCAGCCTTGCACTATCAACCATGCTGATATACCCTCAGCTCTCGAAGTTGGCAACTAACAGGCATCAGCCTGAGGTTATCGGCTTTCGTCGTCGTCCAAGAACGGGCCACCGCTCCAGTGTGCACATACCTGGGCAAGCTGCCCCTCAAGAAGAGCCCATGCAGTGCCCGCGTCGCACTGGCTGTATTACTCTTTGGCGCCATGGCTTCTACGGCATCGCATAGTGCAGGGTCGCTGTTGTAAGAGGCCTCCCACACAGCCCCTCATGCCATACGAACCGAAGCCCTTCACGCCCTCTATCCCTCGCTCTCCCCGTCGTTTGTTCCCTTCAATGTATCGCCCCTCTGATATTCTGTGCTATAACACTTCAGATTACAATGTCTTGTACTATACGCGCCTGTGTCGAAGAGACGCAACGCGTCACATGGACCTCGGGCTGCCTCGGACATTAAGCGCGGGACTGATCGGTACTCTGATCTAAGCGCTCATTTCTTGATTCCTGACCACCTCATGTTCACGATTGAGTGTCGTTGATGAGGGACGCTCATAAGTACCACGCCGACTGTCTCGTATGCATACAGTCCGGTTGACATCCCCGCCATGCCGTACGGACGCGAGCTGAGCGAAACTCATGCGATGGAGCGCCGTGCAGTCAGATCGTCGAGGAAAAGTAGAAGTCAATATAGTACATGCTGGGCAACTGTAGATGCGCTTGGCTAGGGAAGACGTTACGCGTACTAATCGGCGCGTATTCACAGTGCAAGTCCGTTCATCCACCTGTAGAAGACCACGTCCGTAATGAAACCAGTCACAAGGATGGCACCAATACGTGGGGTAAGCAGGAAGAAGTACCAGCACTGGCTTCTGACGTTGACGTCTGTATGAGCGATCCCGTAAAGTAATTGGAGCGTAACGGCTGCCAGGGCCGCGTAGAGTATTGGGCCGTGACCGTTGAGGGAGGCGCCGTACGCGAGCAAGCCGGTGAAGCACAGTGAGCTGGCGCCACACACGACGTTCGTATATTCGCCGCAGAAGATCGCGAAAGACTTGATCCCAAGCTTCACGTCTTCCTCCCGGTCCTGAAACGCTCAGTATCAGCACTGGGAAGCGAATGCCTGGGAGGGTAACCCACGAGGTGTTGATACACGGTCTCGTAGGCGATGACCCAGAAGCAGCATCCAACGTATATCGGGCTTAACACATTCCAAGGTACACGGCCGTCTGGACTGAGATCACTCCAGCCCATGAATACGCCTGAGTTGAACATAAGCCCTAAGACAATCGGCGCGAAGCTCATCCATCTCTAGGTGACCCTCAGTACTACTCCTTTGATCAAATGGACGCGAAAGATCGCCACGCACTTTACAAGTTGGGTAGATGAGAAATAACGGCCAAGTGGGTGCCGTGATCTTGACGCTAGGTCCGATATTAGCTCATTCTGTATATAGGCACTAGCAGGGACTGTTGAGCTTACGTGTAGGGTTTGAGGAACGTGTTCGCAAGATATGTTCCGATGACGGCTTGAAGGATGAGGAACATTGAGGCGCGGAGTATGGTGATATCCCCTCGGGGAATAGCGCGGTTCTGAGTGCGAGTGACCTTGGCGTCGATATCCGCGTCTAGTATATCATCGGCTGTCATGAGCTGATAAGACCCATTGTGAGAATCAGTACAAGGGGATAGGTGGGCGCTCTTACGAATGCCTTGACTCCGCAAGAGAGAATCCAGAACATGGCTAGTCTTCCGAGGACCTCGAGCGCCGACACTTCGGGCTTCGCTCGATATGCCATGGCCATCGAGAACACTGCGACAGTCGGTGCTGAGCATAGAACGCTGAGATAGCTAGCCTTGCTCACCTAAAGGATAGAAGACGACGCCACTAGGGCCCATGGCGCTACCAAGTCGAGTGAGCTCCCAACAGGCGACAAGCTCCTTCTTGGATGGGGGACTGAAGATAGCTAAAACGCCCAGTCGTTCAGCGGACCCCATTCTCGAAGACAGCTCTCGGTGATGCTTCCACTTTAGACGGGAGAGCTCAGTCCTTATAGGCGTCTGGTCCTCACGTGTCGTCTAATCGACCCCGTATCCCCTTTGTACAACATCATAGCTCAGCGGGAGACTAGAAGACGCGGTTAGATCGCATCGCGGGGGACATGAGAACTCCAGGCAATGAGACGTACCGCACTGCAAAGCGAAGAGACCCCGGTCACTGAGTTAGGACATGAGACTTAAGACCGGCCACGAGGCCACATTATGCGCGTCGATGTATCACATAGAATCAGCACATGAAGAGTAGCGAGAGATCTCAGCGTGAAGTCTTGCGCCGGTCAGCTATGAGGTTCGGTTGCTTGTTCGTGGAAGGGAGCGGGAGATGAAGTTGAGTCTTGCGAACCCATCTGGATGCTGACGATAAACTGGGCTGTTCGCAACTAGAAACATCAAGATGAGTACAATCGTCAGGCAACCATGTATCGAGAGAAGAGGACACCATGCGCAAGACCGAACCGCGCCAGGGTGGGCTGAGTATGGGCAAAACAATGGCCGCTTGCCACAGGAAGATGGAGCGCCGGGCCGCGGAACACCGTCTGCGTAGCGAACTATCATGATTTAGAAGATGCAGGGCGACAATGTTTCGCAAAGATGTCCGATACCATGATAATCGGGAGGACTGGTCTCGTCAGCAATACAGTCTGCGCGCCATGGACCACGGCGCGTAGTCCATAAGGAAGTAGTAGAGTCGCAGCTGACTGTTTCGATCACAATCATTGTACGACTTCGCTTCTACGAGACACGTTGGTGAGTGATAGCTGTTTCATCCTTGCGCACGAACAAGACCGCACGAAAAGAGATGCACTGAGATGCGGGAGAAGAATACTGTTCGCCACCGAAAATTGCCCGGTCAAAGACAAGGCCAGACCGTACTTGAAACTTGGGGCTTCCGTTGTAGTCCTCGATAGAGCTTATGAGCGGCAGATACGGAAAGGGCCACTTGTGGGGCTGAAGCGCTGGATATAGTGACATGGTGGTTCATTGAAGAGCCAGTGCGGGCGCGCGCTGACGCTTTGCGCCTTTTGCGCCTGTCCCGCGTCTTGATCACGACCACCACCATGTCCCTGGACCTTTTCGACTTCGCAACTCTATATCGCAGCGCAACGGATTCCAGTCGGCTTATTTGGCATGCACGATATTCTGTAGGACCGGGCACATCCCGCCCGTCAGCGAGAAGAGAGAGTTAAGAGGGTGTATAGCCGCGGTACGTCGTTCGTTTCCTTGTGCTATGACGGCCAGGTTGACCTGCCGCTGCAGCTTGGCCAGTAGCTTAAGGGCTTCACGACTGTTATAGTGTTCCTTTTGCTGCCGCAGATAATCACCCAAACGCGATATTGGCTCGGCTTCGATACTACAGGGTGATGTGGAGCGGGGGATGAGAAGCCTGAGCGGAGGAGCCCAAGGCAGTGGGTGTTGTTATGCTTACGCGCGATCTCAAGCGCTGGCACGCGGTTCACCTGGAGAGTCGCCCTACGGCAGGCGAACTTGCCGGTGCAGACGATTGGGTCTTTGAGAGCATAGCGGATATTTGACCACAATGCGTAGGTAGTCTACTACGACCCGTGAACTCAAGTAGAGGTTGCTCCAGTATGTCATGTTATTTGGCGTCTCCCGAATCGTGGAATACATTACTTGTGAACACTGAAAAGTGCAAACGCGTGATACGGCATATGCAAGCATACAGCGATTCAGAGTACGCCCGGAAAGAGCTGGTAGGGAACCCTTTGCTTCCACTCTTCCCACTTCCTTCCGAACTTCTCAGAGAGCATCTTATCCTCCATCGACGCCCGCGACACCACTTGCACAAGACAAATGCCAAAGCCTAATGCAATAAGTGCTATGCATTTGCCGATGGGCGTGTCAAATACGCCGGCCTCCCTCCACCAAGACCCCCTTGCCGCCTCGCACAGGACCACCCCCGAGACCGTCGTGAGTACAGCAGTATACGATGGGTGCCGAACGTAAGCGTATGGTCCGGTAGTGACTAGCTCGTGGTTCTTGATGAGAGCTAGTTGGAGGGTGAACTGGGGGCCCAAAGCACGGTATGTCCACAGTCGAATGACTGCGCCGGATAAGGCAAGCACGGCGCCCAGAACGAAGAGAGGCGACACCAACGCGTGCTGCTGTGCTGAAGGAGCATCCCCTGGTAGCAATCGGTTGATAGTTGGTAGGTTACTCGCGAAAGCGATCTCGAGGAGCATGATGATAGAAACGAACATCTGCAGTAAGGGTAGAATTCAATCTCCGTTATGTATAAGGCGACATGACTGAGATTAATCTTACCTTCTGAAGCACCACACCCCTAGCAGCGTATTTTTGAATGAACGAGACACCAAAACCAAGTCCACGGTCCTCGTAAGCTGCTCGATGCTGTGAAGGAGCCGGGGTCGTTGGCGAAGTATACGCAACGTGATGGCCCGCCCAAGTCATGAGCAGAAAGAAGACTCTGAGTGCTGACATCATGATGGGCAAATAGAGAAAGAGATGGCTGCTCTCTCTAAAATCACAGGGACGCGAATATATGTATGAATAGCCGCCTAACTTCCGTATGTAAAGTGCGGTCCACTGATCGAGATGGAACTTAGTGGAATCCTGAGTTCTTACGCTCGTCTGAGCTCTACCCACGAGAGCGACGATGACCAGTGAAGCCCCAGTGGCCCGGGCTCTAACGCTTGCGAAGTGATGTCGGACTCGGATCCGAACGTCTCTCCATACCAGACTAAGTTCCTGCTTACACGATAAGCCCTGAGGCAGGGCGAAGCCAACAGTCGGAGATAGATGCTATCTTTGCATCTTTGACTTGGATAGATCTATTGGTATAACAGTATCCCGCATGATCTGAGTTATGCGTACCGAGGGTGGGCGGTCCGCGCATGATCGCTCATGAATCCCGTTGAATGCAGTCCGATCGCCCGGTTCAGTCTGAGCCTATGCCTCCCCCTGGCACCTCAACTACATGTCAGGTATAACATATGACCATCTGGTACAGAAGCACTCCTGAACGGGATTACGTTCCCGGATGAAAGCTGAAGTACGATAGCTCGCCGTCCGAGCCATTCCGCGGCTTAGCGCTGAAGCCCACTTCTCAAGCAGACCACAGCGCCTAGATGATGCGCCAAACACGTCAGACCTTTGGATGCTCTTCGAACGCTCAGAATTCTACCTGGGCTTTGCAACGTTCGCGAACCCGCTACATAGACCCCGCATTCGCCGACGCGCGTTCTCCGAAAACCCACGTGTTCGCGTTCCGGTGGATTTCCACGGCGTCCGATGGTTCGCCAAGTTCGAACTCACAAACGTTATAGTACTTCTCCCTCTCCCATCCACGATGCATGGCACTTGAAGCTTAGCCGGTGACCGGCGAACCTCAGTCTTTACAAGCGCAGCTACCTCGGATATCTACAAAACTTCGCCGCGATGCTACAACTGTCGGTCTTCGTTGCACGAGTTATCACTTGGGGAAGCATCGAGAAGTAGATGGACCTCGGGGTCTCCCCAGTCAGTGGGAGGATAGGAAGAGGAAGCATCAACGGCGATTCTCGTGTTCCTCGGGCCTCGGGGTGCGATTGAAGCCCCTGTATCGAAACGCTCAAGCTTGCTGAGTTCGCGGCTCGGCATTGCGGCGGGCTACTGATTTCCTGCCTTTCCATGAGAATCACACAGCGTACGTCTTCTCTAGCTCTCTGTTTCACTTCTTCGCCCTAATGTATTGTATGCTTCGACAGACTGATGATCACGAAACGATACTCGCCTGCCGCTCGCTCCTCCTTCAGCACCCGTCACTGGCACCGCACGCGATGTTGGCCGTCGTACGACACTGCGGAAAGATGTCCAGGTGAACTCTACACCTAGGTTTCTCTATCAGGGCAACAACTGATCTCTCGCGTAGTTGTATAGCAACTAGATTGCCTTGCACAGTGCCGCCGTCTGAGAGGCGAGAGTCAAAGAATGGGAAAATTGGTGAGGCACGGACTCCGCATTCTGACGGTACTCGCCAGTCGCACTCTCGCTCGGCACTTCTTTGTGTCGTATATGATACTTCTCGATATTCGTGGACCACTCCCTTTAGGGTGACGTCTCAATATTCTGTATCGGCTGCGTCGCCGCGCCATCGTCGCGCCCGGCACAAGTGTTGTCATGAATCATTATCTGCATAAGGCCACGCAAGACCGTACAGCAAGAACCAATCCTACATATCGAGCGCAGTCTAAATGCATATCTCAACAAGAATCCGCCACTCAAAGAACACTACGCTCTAAACTGCGTTTGCATTGGCGTCGTTGCGGCTTTCCTCCTGATTAGCCTTCGAGAGCGCGGAGAGTTCGTAAACTTGTGAATCGTCGTCTGACGATGGCTAGTCAAGTGCGGTCAGAGAAGGTGGTATACGACTCCGTGTTCTTGACGTACACGAGCCTTCCATGCTGTCGGCGATTGCCTATCCACAGCAAACTTCCGCCTATCGGGCGGGGCAAGAGTTTGAGCGTCGATGCGCCGCTCACGTTGTTGAGCGATGTGCACTTGAACCCCCATATCTGTTGCACCGCTACTGTTCCCCGCGGAAGATGACTGCTGCGAGTTGCTCTTGTACTCGCGAAAGACGCGACCGTTGATAGTTGAGATGAAGGCATTGCTCGAATGCATCAGTACAGCGCTGACATTCCCCGTGCAGCATATGGCCCACCTGTAAAGCTTCCCCAGGATGATTGCGCTAGTGTGTGTCAGCCCGCTGTGCGAGATGCGAAGAACATGCATACGCACGCCGTTAGATGGAAATACTGCGCCGGGTAATGCTCCCAGAGGAAGAGATCCTGCGGAGAGTAAGGTTGAGCGCCACGAAGACTGCAGCTCCTAGCTTGAACTCACGACTCCCGCGACGACGGCCGTGATCAGACCGGTTTGAAGAGTGTTGATGATCAACCGATCGTACAAGCTTTGAGACTGCACCCAGACTGTACGTGACCGCGCTTGATAGAGCTGTAGTGTTTGGTGTTAGCGGAGTGCACCCGGTAAGTCCGTAAGAGTCGGTACCAGCGCTATCATACATGCAGCGATGATCATGTCATTCGCAAAGCTTCCCGCGAGCCAAGTCTAAGTAGGCAATCAGTAGTGCATCGCGAGAGAGGGTGCACAAGCATACGTCGATGCTGCTCTGAATGTGCTCCAGCGAGTTGGTACTTCCGTCGGCATTGAGGATCTGTGCAAGTTCAGGTTCAACTTGCATACAACCGACTGATCAATCGTTGGCGATGATCTTACCCCAATCGTGCCCGCCAGGGACGCCGCGAACTGCATGATCGAGAGCTATGAATATGAATACCAATGAGCACAGAATAGTGAAGTAAACGCTATGTATGCACACCAGTTCGATGAGGATGGGCAGACTCCGTACCCAAGCGCCTCGAGTAAGTGTCCAGATACGCCTACAAGGTGATGTTAGCGATGGTGCGCGTGAGCCGCGCTGGATTGTACCAGGCGTAGAAAGACTGGACCATCCATGCCACTGGACACGTAGGTGTGAGCAGGTGTGAGGGCCAGCCAAGCGCAGACAGCTCACCGATCCCGTCGAGAAGAGAGATTAGTGCACCGCTCCACGGTATCTTGCTGCTGAGCAGCTCGGTTTTGCCCCATATCTCTATGGCAAAGTACCATTGTCGAGCTCCCAGAGAAACGATGCTCTCAACTCACCCACTCTAGCGTGAACTAGAGCCGGTCAGCAAGAACAAAGAACTCGAGAAGATCTGAGGGCGCAAGAGGGCTCGGGGTCTTAATCGTCCAACCCGAGCTGCCCAAGAACACGCCGAAAGAGCACTGAAACCCGTAGAATAGAGCACCCGGAGGCGGGGGGAGGAGGGGGGCAGGCGTACATCGTAGCTACAAATATATAGTCTTGTCTCGAACGGTCAGGAACCCGCCGCGCGCGCACGCCCGTCTCGCCCGCACGTTCTACCGATCCCGCCGTATTCCGTCCCGCCCGCGGCCTCCTGAACACGCCCGTAAACCTGTATCTCGCTATGCGCAACTCCTGTGCTGTTTCCCGCCTTGCTCGTGCCCGAATACCTCGCGAATCAGTCGAAACCCGGTGCATGCGTGCTGCGCACGCTCGATACCATGCTTCTTGTGTTACGATGATGCTCTGTGCGAAGTCTACAAGGAAGACGCAGCAGACTGCAGGCCTCCTATTGAATGTCCGCATGACGAGTTCAATGATGTGACTTACTCAGTAGACGAGCCCAAATGGGGTCTTTGCGGCTTTGCGCGCTGTTGGCATATATGTCTATTCTCTTCAGTGAGCACATGAAAGACACGATCTGACAGTGGACAGACATACACAGCTGAACTGCTAGGGTACCGAGGAGAAACCAATTGATGATATTGCCTATGAACTAGGGCCAGTGAGAAGATACTATGAGAAGAACCGATCTACGCACAACGGGCCCAAAGCTATTGCAACCTTGTGAGCCATGAATGGCCAGGGTGAGGAGATAGAACTCACGTGGTACTCGGAACAGCTTCCGTCGGTCCAGAGGGAGGCGGAGTAGACGTATTCGAAGACATCGGAGTACGATGAAGGGATACGACTCCAGAAACTCCGATGCGCTAGCAGGATGTATCGTCAGCTGTTATGTAGTCAGCGGGATGTCTGGGATGGGAAATGGAGCATAGATCACTTGCATTGATAGCATCCAGTGACCCTGTCGACTGTTAGTCAACGCCCAACGCCGCCGCGGTATCCCCCGAGGGGTGATAGACGCTATCTTTGCCACAAAGGTAGAGTCGACTTCTCTGGGCACCAGGTTCGCCGGTGTATGGGAGTGTAGTCTAGATGTGAGTGGTGTAACTAGAGTTCACTCGGGGAGCAACAAAGCGAGTAAGACTACGAACCCGCAAGAACAACTGTGTCAGGTGCATAGGCCGGCACCTCGCCCGCCTTCAAGAACCGACCGCGACGATTGAGCCAGCAGGAACGCATCCGAGAAGCTAAACAAGGAAAACTCTCAACGGTATCATGCGCAGGCCTCCGCCATTCGACCCGAAAGATGGAACGTCTTGCCGTGCAGGTCCAAACACATCTCGATGAGGATCAAGCTTGACCGCGGACTATCGCCCTCGCCACATGCTTATGTCACAGGAAGTAGCCATGACGGTTGCATCCGGGGTAGCATACGGCGATATCAGTGCGCATAGGGGATAGTGTGGGCAGCTGAATCCCAAGACCGCTCAAAATGAGCGCGCCTGGCGAGGATTGCGATTGGCAGTCAGGCCGACGATGCAGAGCTGTGCTTCTTGCTTCTCTCTTGTAGTATTCGTGATGCGATGCGATTGTGTATACACATGCACGGCATCGTTGAGAGCACTTCTTTGTATGATGCGTGCATGAGTCCGACTGGGTCTTATCCTGAGCTCGCAGGCGCACGGGGTAACCTAGTCGAAACCCATCTTTCGGGGCTCATATGCACGGGATCCATGACATCGCCCTACGTTATGCATGCACTCCAGAAGTTGGGCGACGAATACGGAGGTCTAGATCGTCCTATCGTGAGCGGCACGGGAGAAGGACCTGGACCGTTTAGACCCGCCAGACGTCGGTCTTCGCTTAGTGTATAGAACTTGCTGTTGAGTCGTACAGGAACACAGATGTACCAAGAGTTGGCGCAGAACATGAAAGGAAGACGAAGTTGGATGTATTGATATCGGTGTTCGGCGATGGTGGTAGCAAACAATTGACATGCAATCGTTCCCGCACACTGCGGGTGAACCGCGCGCCGCGTCATGCCCGCAACCGCCTTCCTTGGTTGATCTCGGGCCACCATGAACTGGTGAAACCCGGATACCTATATCCTTCTGTTCCTTCAACTTTCCTGCTCAAACACAACGACTGTCCTACTATTTCTAATATCACGAGGGCTGATGTAAGCAACCCGCGGGTAACTGAGGCGGACAAATACAAATGGCAGTGGTGCGTGCACCGTCACAACATAGCCGAACACCAACTCAACGTCTCACTGCTGTTCAAACAGTTCGAACCCACCCTGAAACCCTATCCGGGTCCCTTCCATTCATGACACGACAGCGCTTTGGCGCGGCGCTCGTCAGGTGAGCCTCGAGAGCATTGTCATCTTCTCCCACTTGTTCTTGCTGTCCGATACATGGATGAAGGATGGGCCTGGCGTCTACGACCTGCCTATTCAGCCCATTTCATTTACTGCTTCTCCCGCCCTGTGCTCTGCAGTACGTACCGTTAACCCTGTACATGACCATATGGGACCTGCATCTCCCGTCTTTACTAGAATGCCGATCGACTAGCGATCTCAACTTCAGGTCTCGTCCCAGACTCTAACCCTACTACGCGGAACAGGATATGGTAGCTCTTACGTGTACACATGTAGGCCAAGAGCCCTTGTCCATAAACATACCTATTCTTTGCGCAATTTTATAGACGATTCCCGTTAATCCAACGCTGGGCGATAGCATCTATTCCAAAACCGGCCACCAGTGTCACCCCGATGCGCGGAGTAAGCAAGAAGAACGCTCTGCACTGTGTCCTCACGTGGATGTCCGTAACGGCGACGCCGTGACGGTGAAGTAGCTGGAGCGTCGTGGCCGCGATCCCCATGTAGGCGAGAAGACCGTGATTGTTAAGATGTGCACCATATGCGATCAAGCCGGCGAAAAGAAGGGAGGTGATGCCGCAGACAATATTTGTCTGTTCTCCGCAAAAGATGGCGAAGGATTTCACGCCGAGTATTTGGTCCTCTTCTCTATCCTGGTTGTCGAGGAAGTATGAACTTTGTGGCCGCAGGAGTGATGGTACATGAGAGCCTACCAGGTGCTGATACATCGTTTCGTACGTAATGACCCAGAAGCAGCAGCCGATATAGACGGGATTCAAGATCTTCCACGGTATCTGCCCATCTGCACTGAGATCGCTCCAACCCATGTAGACACCGGGATTGAACAGCAAGCCCAGTACGATTGGAGCGAAACTCATCCATCGCAATCAGGTGATCGTCCTCCCCCCACCAACAAGATCACCGATAAAGCCTGCAAGGGAGGCTATCGCTAGACGCCACCCGTCAACTTCACAAGCTTGTGGCGCCAATCGCGTCACGTACTTTGCACGTAGGATAAACAAGGAAAAGCGGCCAAGTTGTAGCAGCAATACGGACTCTGTCCTCTCAACATCAACACTGCCCATGACAAAGGTAGGGTATATACTCACGTATAGGGATCGAGAACCGTGTAGGCTAGACATAAGCCGAGAGCACCTTGAAGGGCGAGGAATAGCCAAGCCCGAGACAAAGCGATGTCACCTCGCGGGATAGCCCGATTCTTGGTCCGAGTGACTTTCGCATCGATATCGGCGTCCAGTATATCATCGGCTGTCATGACCTGCTGAAGATATAAGCTGGAATCATAGCGAAAGACAAAGGAACACCCTTACAAATGCCTTGACTCCGGAACATAAGGCCCAGAACACCGCCAATCTCATCGCGACGCGAGCAATAGATAACTCGGCGTTCGCGTGGTAGGCCATAGCCATGGAGAGCACTGTGTGAGACCAAATGAGCACGTATTGAAGCTCGCTCAATGAAGATTACTCGCCGAGAGGACAAAAGAAAGCAACTCCGCCCAACCCGCCGCCGAGCCGAGTAAGATCCCAGCAAGCGATTACTTCCTTCTTGGTGGGGATAGTAAGTAAAGAGGCAATGTTAGATCGACGATAGGACATCTCGCAGCACGACGGTGGCTCGCTGTGTGTCAGGCACTGTCAGCTTTGTCCTTATAGTGTGGGTCGGGCGCGCTCACCTCCCCGAAGGGAGTATATACAGCTCCGGATGGCAGCTTCCGATGAATAGAACAGTTCAGCCGTACAAAAGTCGAAGTAGGTATGTAGGAGGGCTTCATAGAGATGCGAATAGTGACCGGATAGTATCTCTTGGGAAGCCGCCAGTGGGACGATGACGTCCAATGCTGTTGTCGAGAGAGCACCTGAGCATTGGTTCAATTGTACGAAGATGCGAAGTCGTTCGGTCCGCTAGTATCGTATAGCGGACTTACAATCAATGTGTTCCACAGCAGTTCCGTGGATATGTTCTGAAGAAAGATGCATTGCGTGTGGAAGCTTCAAGTCGCAACTCAGGATCGCTCAGAACAACTGCGGGCAAGATGGTTTGGCGCTCAGGTGTAAGACAAACCCGGCTCCTCTCCAGATCGGTCGCCATAATCAGGCTCTCATACAGTTCAGCACACGACGAACTCAGCTGTCAGCTTCCGGCGCAGTAGGCACATGTTAGCGTCGGTCCTATCGCGGCCATTCTACCGACGACAAGCAGCGAAGCATGTAGGTTTCCAATCGCCATTGAGAGACCAAGAGCAGGTAGTGTCTGGAGTCACATCATTACACAGTGGGTGCTTGATGGCCTGAGTACCCGGCGCTGACGGGGAAAGCAAGGCGCACTGAGTCTAAGCTTCACGAGGCGCGCGACGTACCGATGTACGCGCTGAGTAGTCGTAGTAGTCGCTCATAGTTTGTTCGGGGTATTGCATGCGAGTTAAACGTGCGACTGTGTGTACTCGAAGGGAAGAGATCAAATGGGTGCAGAGCAAAAGAGAGCAAAGCTCGAACGACGCGCGCCAATCAGAGTCTCGTGGCCGCACGTGCCGCGGCGCGCGAGCCGCGGTAGCGGCCCTCGCAACTCGCCGCGTGCTACCACTTGGCCCTGCTCATTGTTCCACTTACGCCCACTTGTGCACGGGACGATGATGTCCGTGCATCTAATGCTATCGATGCAGGAAGTCCCACACTCAGAGACTATGTATCTGTTGCACTTCCCATGTGCCCAATCCACAGATGGGGACAGGTTCCCGGCGCATCTCCCGCATCGCGGCCGTCAGGAAGCGAGCACTCTCTGCATATAAGAAGTGCCTGCTGTACCAACATTTCCAGCACCGACAGAGTCACTATGCCTATACTCTCGGTCGACAATATCAAGGGCAAGACCTTCGACTACGTCGTCGTCGGTACGTGTGTCCACGCCGAACTACTGAGCTGCCTGCTCACACCGGACGACCATCTAGGTGGCGGGGTCTGTGCATTTCAACGCCGGCTTTGGACACAGTGACACTGATATTCTCCGCACAGACCGCTGGTCTCACCCTCGCCGTCCGTCTCAGCGAGAATGCCAACAAGACCGTTCTCTGCTTAGAGGCCGGTGGCGAGAACCTCAATGACCCTGCTATTCGTGAGCGAATCTTGCGAAGGAGTTGCGCAATGACTCATCTGCTTCAGTGCGCCCTGCATCCTGGGCTTCTCATCTTAATAACGACAAGTATGATTGGGCCCACAAGACAGTGAGTTCGCGGTCGATGTGTTTTCTTTGTGTTGTCTGATGATTGATCCGTCCCGTAGGTCGCGCAGAAGTTCTCGGACAACATTCAATATGTCTGGCCTCGGTATGTCTATCCTACTCTTTCGGTAACTCAGGGACGGCGGGTCATGATGCTATGATACAGTGGCAAAGGACTAGGCGGCAGCAGTGCCATCAACTTCATGTGTTGGACTCGTCCCCCGGCGAAGGAGCTCGACGGTACGTATAGTTGGGACTCTGTAAGCACGATGAATGTCTAATAGCTGCGCATAGATATCGAGAGACTGGGCAATCCGGGTTGGAACTGGAAGAACCTGGATGATAGCATGAAGAAGCTAGAGGGGTACATACGTGTGCCATTCCCAGGGATCTTCGGCGCTCATGCTCATCTGTCTAGGTACATCGCGCCCACGAAGGACGTTGCCGAGCAGCAAAGCCTCAAGGTCGAGAGTTGGAATCACGGTACATCAGGTAGAGCTGCATCCTTTCCTTGTGATGCTGCGGTCGCTGAGTGATCAACACACAGGGACTCTTCATCACTCTTTCCCGGGAATCTTCATGGGTGCAGAGAAGGCCATCCAAGACGTACGCAAGTCATCAAGTTCGGCGTCTCTCCGTAACTCACTTAGCATCGTAGGCCCTCGTCAGTACCGGCTTCGAGTATGCAAAGGACCCTTTGGGCGGTGACGTGCGTGCACTGCGCTGAGTTCGCGTTAGTTCTCTGTACTGATAGAGACATAGCCAGCAGGTGTCTTCTTCTCCACCCAGTCTGTAGACTCCAAGACGTACACCCGCTCGTATTCTGCTTCTGTACGTGCCCCTATCTCTATTTCAAGCAGATGCTCAACTGTCACCAGGCATTCTTCGTTCCTGCACAGGATCGTCAGAACCTGACCGTGACCGTCAACGCTCTCGTGAGCCGTGTCATCACAGAGCAGGTTTCTGGCAAGGTTCAAGCCACCGCCGTCGAGTTCCTCAACGAAGGCGCGACCTACACAGTGAATGTTGGTGGCGAAGTTGTCCTGTCAGCCGGGTAAGCCATGCATCCGCTTCTGTCTCTGCGGAGACTGACGAGTTTGTAGCGCTCTCAAATCGCCCCAAATCCTTGAACTCTCGGGCATCGGCAAGAAAGAGGTCCTAGACTCGTTCGGAATCCCGGTTGTCGTTGACCTCCCGGGCGTCGGCGAGAACCTACAGGAGCACGTATATGCTTCCCTTCCCTTCGGTGAGCATGTCATCCCATATTGATGGACATATTGAATCTGATACATTGTCCAGAGTTGAAGGACGACGTCGATTTCGACACTCTTGACGTCCTCCGTGATGGTGAGGCCGTCATGAAGCACATCGAGCTCTAGTACGCGCTTCAATTGCTCTCAGGCTCGTATGATTGGCCATCTTCTGACTACGTTTCTAGCAAAGAGGGCAAGGGCTTGTTCACGGCTGGTCTCATGGGCTTGGCTTTCGGCCCGCTCAAGATGTTCTCGGATCGCGCCGATGAGATACAGCGGAAGGCGATCGAGAAGATCGAGGCGAACAAGGACACGTATCCGCCCGGACTGTACGAGCAATACCATCTGCAGATCGAGCGATTGAAGGAGGGCGCCCCGGGATGCGAGATCTTGACCGTCCCAGCCTTCGTGTCTTTTCACGCGCCACCGAAGCCGGGCAAAAAGTACTTCTCGCTGTTGCCGTCCTTGAACCATCTGTTCTCGCGCGGCTCGACTGTAAGTGCTGCTCCTCAACCGTTCGACTGTATCTCACATTCTTGGCGCAGCACATCATCTCGAAAGATCCCAAGGTCGACCCCGCGTACGATCCTTCTTACTTCTCCGAGGAGATCGGTTAGTACGGTTCCGAACTTCGAGACTTGGTACGTACCTGACGCTCTCCCTAGACCTCGACATGTTCTTGGAGTGTGTCAAGTTTGTACGAGCCTTGGCCAAGATCGCCCCCTGGAGCGACATGGTCGCGGCGGAAGCCGCCCCAGGCCCGGACTGTACGACGGACGAGCAACTCGCGACGTGGATCAAGCAGCACATGGCGACGACGTACCATACGGCTGCGACCTGCTCGATGCTGCCGAGAGAGAAGAACGGCGTCGTAGACCCGAACCTTGTTGTGTACGGTACCTCCAACATCCGCGTCTGTGACCTAGGTATTCTCCCTCTGCACTTCGCTGCGCATCCTCAAGGTAAGTCTCTCATGCAACTCGATTCTGCTCCTCTTGCTGATCACTGTCTATGCAGCCACTATCTATACCTTTGCCGCGCGTGGTGAGTCTTCATCTTGCCGTACATGTAGTCCCGGGTGAGATGCTAATTCGATTGCATTCAGCTGCCGATCTCATCTTGGGTCAAGCGTAGAACTTGAAATGATGTGCTTGATGTCTCTCGAGCGTTGGCAAGAGCGGTGGTATAATGGGACACTATGATAGTACAGTGTTCGATGCAGGATGTAGTACGCGATATGTACAGGAACTTATTGTCGAGCTTCCGATGTATCATGGAAGATCGCGGACATACCAGGACGGGGCTCTATGCGACATTGGACTATCTCCGGGCGGCTCGTAAGGCCGCTAGTGTAGTCACGAGGCGGGACGAATTCATTGCCATCGCCATCTCTTGGCCGTTTGATGTCGAAGCAGAACAGAATCGACGCAACGTTCAGCCAGAGTCTGTCTTGTAGGTCATTTTCCGTGCAAAAACAGAGTACTGCAGACTAGGACTACATACATGAGTTGAGCCAGATGTCGACCGGGGCAGATGCGTGCACCAAAGCCGAAGGCGATGGTCTCTGGATCGCGCTGCTTGTCCTCGCCTAGGAAACGTTCTGGCCGGAAGAGCATGGGATCGGGATAGATACTCTCGTCATGGGTCATCCCGTACTGGTTTGGCACGACCGTTGTTCCCGATGGGATGAACATACCGTTGTACACCTGGATATATGTCAGCTCCAGGCCGCAAGCATGAGGCAATGATCTTACGTCGTCTTCTTTCGTGACATGCGGTAGACCGAGAGGCACTCCCGACTCCCACCTCAGAAGCTCCTTGACGACCGCTCCGATGTAAGGAAGGGATGCTCTATCGGAGAGCGTTGGAAGACGAGAGCCTCCAATTACACCATCAAGTTCCTTCTGAGCACGCTCCTGGACCTCCGGTGCGTGTAGCATAGCCAGTAAGAACGTCAACAACACAGACATGGTCGTGTCCGTAGCGACTGCCAAGATGTAAAGGTCAGCACATCCACAATGCACTCGTTCATCCGGCCAGGCTCACCCGAGTGAAGAACCGAACAGCTGTCACGCACGGTGTCCAAGGTGATCTCCTGGCTGTGGTATGCGTCCATGAGTCTTGTGAAGAAGCTAGGTTGCGCTTTGCCTTCGTTGTACTGCTGCAACGACCACTCCCATGTCCCGAACCTCATCTCCTCAATCAGTTTACGTCCTCTGAGGGCCACCCGCCGAAAGGTCGCTCCTGGGAACCAGGCAGGGATGTGCTTGAGAACAGGGAAGAGCTCGACGAGGTACAGGTTCCCAGGACGCATGACATCGGCCAGAGCATGCATGGCCTTCTCAGCCACTTGCACATGCTTGTCATCGGTTTTGGTGTCGTGGTGGCCGTAGGCTACCGATGTTCAGCGAGAGTAGATAGCCTGGTATGCAAGCGGAAGCTTACCGATCGCCATGACCGAGACTAGGACTTGGCTGACGACTTGACTAAGCAAAGGCTGGCAAGACCATATCATTCCAAGCAGGAACTTACTTGTGTAGATGAGTCTCGAAGTTGACGGGATCCCTCAGTAAGTGCAGAAGACAACCGTGCACGTTGTGCTGTAGATGTCGAGATCCTCATTGAGTAGACATGGCGAAAGGAGCGTCACTCAACGGCTCACTGCAAGGACGTCTTCGTATATGCTCATAGCATGATGACTGAACTCGCGAACGAAGATTCTTCGGAAGGTCGCGTAAGTAGGGTCCGAAAGATTCTTGAGCGCAAACGAGAAGTCTAGACCCATACTATACGGCCATAGTCAGTCACAAGTACGTCGCAGAAGCGATGAAATACGAACAGGTCGTGAACCATGACTACCCGTGGTCGCTCCGAGTAGTTCTTCCACCGGTCCGCGAGCAGATCGCGTGCTGCGTCAACAGTATTTATGAAGACGATGGCCTTGCCGAGAACCGACAACGAGAACACGGGCCCTTCAGGCAGGCATGAGGCGGCGTCGCCGGACTGTGACATTGTACACACCGAGTTCTCTCGCCCATTCGGTGATCTTCAACCATTCTGCGAGAAAAATCAGCGGACGTAGAAGCTGTAGCGCTCCATCGCGAAGACTTGCCTTGTTTGGTCGGCATCTGCAAAGCATTGCCCACGAACGGGAGTTTGCTCGGCCGAGGCGCGGGTGGCAGCGGAAGCCGACGATGTTGCAACCTGCGCGCTGTCCAAAAGAGCAAGATGAACACGCTCGACGATATCAGTACGGCTGCGTTCAGAGCCGTGACAATCGCTGGGGTCATGGACGATGAAGTCGAAGGATGCTAGCTCGCGAACATATGGCGCGTGAAACCGAGCTGCCACTATTCGATGCATGAGAGGAATGGCCTGCGAGGACAGCTAGGCTTCTGATGGACGCTGGCATGAATATGGCCTTGTTCAGTACGGCTGAACGCCGAGCTGAAACATCCCCGTGCTGATGGAGGTGCCACGCTTGCGTGCCTACTCACAAAGATAGAAGGTAAGTGCGTGAGGTCGAGTCTATGAACACACTCGCGCGTCGCACGCTAATGTCGCCGCATCGTACGTCAGTACCTACCCCTTCCCAATTTCATGTTACGGGCATCTGCTGTCAACTGCGCCATCTGGACTACCATTCGCGGGATCATGTTGTAGTGGGGCTGTCGGCTAGCATGTTGGGCAGCGATGCACGGCCAGTCTATGGCAGTAGGTATGCAGTGTGTTGATCATTTGACTCGAGACTGCGACGGTGAACGACCCATGGTGGGGGGTCGCAAGCCGATGGAGACGCCGGGCGACGCGGCGCGTCGCGGAAAGCGCCGGTGCCGCGATTGTCGCGCGTCGCGTTCGCCACGCCTTCCTCTTCTACCACTATATTATATCATTCAAGTCTGCGTGTGGACGTCCCAACTACGCGTGTCCTTCTCGAGCTCCTTTTGGAATGACCTACTGGGCCCTTGATAACGCCCCACGGGCTGATTGAGAGTCGCCGACACGCTCGAGCGCCATCCGGTCATCGCAGCCTCGACCCGCCTTCGTTCCGAGCTCGTTCTTTCGACCCATCTTCTGACCGGACTCTCTGAAGAAAGTCGATTGTCACACACAGCACCCTACTTTCAGCTAATTCCCGATGCCTAATTACTCCATAACAGCTTCGGCGTCGTGAAACAGGGTCTACGGCCGTCGGAGCAGTCGGGGAGGTTGTCCGCGGATCGACGTCCGCCTGGTATTCGCCTTCTCCACTTTCCCATAATAAGGCTTGCCTACGCAAGCACTGTGTTACGCTCCTGACCAACTTCGCCGCCTGCCTCTTCACCGCCTACCTCTTCGCCTCAACAGGACTCAGTCGCCCGACCACTGCTACAATGCTAGTTCAGCTCGAGCGCGTCGCGAATAAGACATTTGACTACGTGGTGGTCGGTAAGTACTGACCAGAGATATCGACGCATGATCAACCGCTGATTTCATGTATAGGTGGTGGCGTGCGTCCCGGTAGCCTATCCCGCATTTCAAAGTGCTGAATGTTCTGCAGCTCTCGGGGCTTGTCGTCGCCACACGGCTTTCAGAAGACCCCACGCTCTCGGTGTTGGTACTAGAAGCTGGCGATGCTAACCTAGGAGACCCAAAGATCCGTCAGTCCTGAAATATGGCCACAAGCATCGCTGAGTCTGATATCTGTACAGTATCACCTTTGCAAGTACAAACCCATTTCGGCCTGGAGAAGTACGATTGGAAGTATCAAACAGTAAGTCGTACACTTCACCCGGTTATGCGCCGAACTGATTGACGCCTGAAGACCGAGCAAGTGGGCCTTGGTTCGAGAACATCGGCGTGGCCGCGGTACCTAACAATGCATCCCGACGCGCGTTCTTGGTTTGACTGACGGAAACTGCAGCGGAAAGGGCTTGGGCGGAAGCTCTGCAATTAACTTCATGCAGTATCACCTACCCGGAAGGTCCGATATCGATGGTGCGTCTTCGAAACAGTCCGTACCGATTGAGACTGACGTTCAGTATGCAGCATTCGAGAAGCTCGGCAACAAGAATTGGAATTGGGATCTTCTTCGACCCTACTATCTGAAGTGCGAGGGCTTCGTTCCACCCCGCGCAGAGGGAGACCCTGTGAGCTACGATGCCGAACTGCACGGGAAAGAAGGTGAATTGACCTGGATCATGAAATCCATGATTGCGGTGCTAGGCTGACTACGAGGACAGGCCCTATCACCGTCACGTATCCAAGCGAGTGGTCTCAGCTGGAAACGCCGTATATGCAGGTTGATATGTTTCCCATGTTGAGAACTCGAGCTGTAGCTTATTGCCCGTGCGCAGGCACTCGAATCCCTTGGTCTCCCTCGGGTGCATGAGCCTGTAAGTTGCAATGTCGTCCCTCAGGAAGAAACGCGACTGAAGAGTCATGGCCCGACAGTTTTCGGGAGACGTAAGTTGGCTCTCTCCCTCCCTCCCAAGCTTGTTCTCGCACGTCTCATGTCACCGCCTCCTAGATCAAAGGCAGCTGGATCACACCGGTGTCCCTCGATCCAAAGACCGGTCTCCGTTCCTATGCTGCAAACGTGCGTCCCTTGTGCTGAACTCCGCACGTTCATACCACTAGCTGACGAGTTATCCTCGTAGGCGTACTATGAACCAAACAGTGGCAGAGCCAACCTATCTGTTCTGACAAACGCGCATGTCATTCGTGTAGACACTTCAAGGGCGATACAGGGGGGACTTCTGACTGCATCGTCTGTCGCGGTCGAATGCGAGGGTCATATCAGTGAAGTGAGAGTTGGTAAAGAGGTCATTCTTGCTGCTGGGTGCGTAGCTCGTCTTCTTGTTTCCGGACATCTGACTGAAGATGGATGCAGTGCTATGGGAACTCCCCAAGTAAGTCAAGCGCGTTTGCGTACTGCGCATTACCGATCTCTACGCTAGATCCTGGAACTTTCTGGTATTGGTGAAGCCAAAGTCCTATCCAAGGCTGGGATCGCCGTCAAGCATGCTCTTGCTGGTGTTGGTAATAACGTTCAAGAGCATGTACGGGTCAATACAGTGTTCGGTATGTCTAGAGCCGGCCTTGAAGTAGCGAGAAGCTGATCGGCATGTTCGTAGAGCTTAACGATGACCCAACGGACAAGTACCAAACTTACGACTTCGTTCGCAACCCGGACCTGCTCAAACGCCATCTTGAGACCTAGTACGTCAAGCTCAGGACTATCCCGTCACATCGACGCTAACCTAGACTATGTAGCATGACCTCTCTTTCCGGCCCATTCGCCATGTTACCGTCATGCATGGCGTTCTCGCCTTTCTCCGTCATCTCACCGGACCACGAGAGACTTCGCGACGAACTGTCCGCCTCTCTCGCTCAGGCCGCCAATAGCGGGAAATACTCTCCCTCAGTCCAGAAGCAGCACACCATTCAAATCGATCGCCTCAAGACGGATGAGCCGAGCTGCGAACTTTGTATATACGGCGGTGCTATGCCCCGCATGCCTGGTGGTCAGTTGTCCTCGCTAACCGTAATGTGTCACTAACTGACTCGCCGTCAGAGAACCAGCCGAAGGAGGATAAGAAGTACGGCACCATCGTTTTCTTGACGAATCATCCGTTCTCACGCGGTTCAATTGTGCGTCCATTCTTTGCCTGACTGCTATGCGATGCTGAGCGGGAGAACAGCATGTCACTGGCCCGAAGTCGTCCCCGGTGTATCAAACTATCGATCCGAAGTACTTTGACGAGGAATATGGTTAGTCATTGTACTCATAGCAAGTGCTCGGGATGCTAACTGAGATCTAGATCTCAAGAGCATCGTTGAAGGAATCAAGTTCGTACGGCGACTTGTGCGCACCGGGCCGCTCAAAGACATCTTCTCTGGTATGCGGTCGATGTAATACGCCGACTAGAGCTAATCCTTGCACAGGTCTCGAGCTAACGCCCGGTCCTGAGTGCAATAGCGACGAGGCGCTCGTTGGTGAGTTACGTGTCTTCCAACAAACTTCTATCTGCTGACACTGTCACAATCTCAACCTCCAGACTATGTGAAGAACAATGTCATGACGTCCTATCGTAAGTCAAGACGCGCACCCCTGAGAGTAGATTGGTAACTTGGGTAGATACGATCGGAACTTGTTCCATGCTCCCTCTCGAGGACGATGGCGTCGTGGACACTGACCTGAAGGTCAGTTGATGTACACCGAGTGTACGTTTACGGAAAGCTGACGGAAGGCTGCCGCCGCTTTCAGGTATACGGCACCCAGAACATACGCGTCGTGGACGTATCGATCATCCCTCTCCAAATCAGCGCTCATCTGCAGGGTGCGTTTCGTATGACCATTCGAGTGACTCTGGCGCTAATCGTATTCAACCCTTCTCCAGCGACTGCATACGCCATCGCCGAGCTAGGTACGCCTGGTTCTATCCCGAATGCACTCAGATACTGACATATCCTTACTAGCGGCCGATATCATCAAAGGTAAAGTGCAGCTGTAGGCGCTTGTTGCGAACGCTGGACTGTAGTATTCCGGGCCTAGGCCGGCTGTGTGTTGTAGACTAGGAATCAACAAGAGTGCATATGATTGCTTGTTCGATGTACAGTTGCATCATGCCTCGGGCTTGTGTGGTTCCCCGTCTCGCTGATCAACACTCGCATTTTCTGGCATTTCGAGCGTGGCAAGAGTGGAAGGGGGCTTTCGCATTGCGAATGAACTGTGTTATATAACTCATAACATGATATGGTAGGACAGTGCAGTGTATGTTGGGCACTAGCATACAGTCATCCAGCAAACGGTGTACATCGATCCGATTACGTGCGAACGACGGCGGCATGAGCGCGTGCAAGTGAATAGATCACACCGCGTATGTTTGCAGAATGATATCCGCCGCGCGTTCGGCAATAGCATATACGGGAGCCTGAAGGTGGGCAGCGGGTATGAAAGGCTGTATACGAGAGGTTCGTCATTGCCATCAAGGCACGAGGAGATATCGGTAGAAACTCACGAATACGGACGCGTCGACGACGCGTACTCCGGCAGCACCTTTGAGAAGCAGCTTGGAGGTGACAACTGCACTATCATCGTCGTCCTTGCCCATCCTTGCAGTACAGCATGGATGCCAGAACGACGTCACGCGCGAGCGAGCCATATCGATGAGGTCGGCGTCGGTAGTAGCATTGGCCCACGAGCCGAACCGCCGCAAGTTCATACTAGCCCACGGGCTCGATTCCAAGAAGTCCTCTGCGAGACACAGTGTAGCAGCCATGGCGTTCCCGTCGTAGTCATCGGTGAAGTACCCAGGATCAATCAGTGGGAAGTCTAGAGGATCCGAGGACGCCAAACGAACACTTCCACCTGGTGAGATCGTTCAGTGAGTCAAACGATGAAGGTAAGTATTGCACTGACGCGAAGCTGGAGACGCGACGTTGACTACCATGCTCAAATACGTGCCATTGTCTGGCGATGGCTCAGTAAAGGAACTGAAGTTATCCTGCCCGATGAGAAGAGGTGAGAGCGATGAACATCCTGTACACATTATGATACGCACGATGAGCACGAGTTCAGCTTGACCAGACGTTGGGCCAGCCGAGGGATCATTGAAGGATGCAAGGGCGGCCGTATCCTCCGAGAAGCGCAACCAACTAAAGAAGTTGAATGTGATGTCTGTGTAGTACCCCGTGCGGTTCGTCTCCCACTCGTCGAGGAACTCCTCCAGAACTGTGGCGTTGCGCAGCGCCGCATCGAGCGTCTCGGTCGAATCAGTTGTCCACTGAACTGACAGAAGTGGGTGGTCCTGCATCTCCTTTCCAACAGCAGGCAAGTTGATGGTCGTAGGTATGTTCAAGCTCGCAAGCTCGGACGCGTTGCCGACCCCGCTCAGGAGGAGTACTTGGGGTGTGTTCACCGCACCAGCGGCAAGGATGACCTCCTTGTTCCCGCGTACCGTGTACTCGACGCCTATGGTAATGAATGAGAGCTCTATTGATCACCGTAAGGTAGACTCACTGGCATCATCGATCACGAAGACAACATCTCGCAGCTCGGGTGGCTGCCCAGTGCCAGACGTGCCAACCTCAACTAGCTTGGTGACTTGCGCCCCAAGAAGAACGTGCAGGTTATCCCGATTCAGCGCGGGATGCAAATAGGCGGAGGCCGCGCTACTCCTGGCTCCTCCTCCGGTTGTCGACTGGATGTATGCTGTAGAGAAGCCAAGCATGCCATTGACTGAGAGCAGCTCATGACTCACAAGTACCGATCGGATCACCGGAATTAACGTCCTGATTGAAGGAGAAGTTTGAACTGCCGGACTGGATCTTGGTCGTCTGTAGGACCAGGTCGTCGAAGGGGAAGGGGAAGCCGTTCGTAGTAGTCAGCAGAGGACCATCGCGGCCATGAACCGCAGGTATAATCTCGCCCGCTGAGCTGAACCCTCCCACAGGCTCGACGAAGTCTTCGGCCTGAAACGCGATCAGTTGGTGCCTTCCAGATATCAAGAAGAGGCTCGCCTTGAGCATGTAAGGGAATAGCGCGTCCCAAGACCAGCCGTCGTCGCCCGTGAAGTCTGCAAAACGATCGTAATCGTCCCGCGATCCGCGGGTGAAGAACATAAAGTCTGAAGGTGATTGAGTACCGCGAAAGGTATGTATGGGAAGAGGCCCACTGATTGAGCTTGAGCCGCCGAGAACGCGACCCCTTTGATAAGCAAGGGAGCGACCATGAAGGCCTGCTTGATTGACCGTCGTGTAGTCCCATATCAAGGACTCATTCGCAAGAAGACTAGCAGCTAAGCCGGGCACCTCCAACGCCGGCACACCCTCATCGCTAATGACCCATGTCAGCAACGACACCGCGTCCATCATTCTTAGCGCAACGCACCTGTGGCCAGCCTCAAGGACAAGGACTGAATGGGTTTTGTTGGCTGATAGTCTATTTGCCAAGACGCTGCCAGCAGTCCCACCTGGACGCAGTGTTCAGTGCGTAGTCTGAAGGAGGATAACACGGAAACTTACCTCCCACGATCACGAAATCGTAACCCGTGGCGCTCAGTTCTGAAGCTCCGGATAGTAGCTTTGCGAAGGCAAAACACCCGGTCAAGCTGAAAAGTATGAGGAGTTCGATCAGCATCTTCGACGCAGGAGGCGGCGCCAAACCTGAGGAGGGGAGGATCAGAGCTTGTAGTAGTACAACCTTATAACTTGGCCTTACCCTGTTCAAGACACCACATGTAACAAGTTGGCTTCCGCCGTGCAGGCCCTCGGCACCGGAGATGCTTCAACTCTAGATGTTGATGGCAGCCGTAATGAGGTCCACATGGACTTGCATACTTCCCGATACATCGCAGGCTGTGAACCTGTACCTGTTAGCTTTGAGTACGGCGCAGCGTTCAAGCGGAGGGAAAAGACTAGCTGGAGGCGCCGAAGGCTGATGCGCCCACTGCTCTCATGATTGCGCCGTACTCCTCGATCAAAACGCTCAAGCGCTCATTTCTTGAACCTTCGCCGCAGCAGATAGACGCTCATATCGCGCAATAGGATTGCAAAGGGTTTGCGGTTGCTCCAGTGAGCTCAAAGTGAGCTCGGGCCATCCTTTCGTGTTCAATCCAAGGCCATATACTGCACCCTATTCAAGACGATAGGTTCTTAGGTAGCGCGCTTAGGCGACAATTATAAGTGGGAGAGGGATAGGATAAGATGGGTATGTATTTGAACCTGAAGGGGGGTTATACATCAGGCGAGCTGGTCGAACTATCATTGAGCGTCACGGCTCACCATATGTACAAGAACCCATCCACGCCTTCAGGAGACTTCACCAGCTCGCGTATAGTATAGCTGACGACACCGCATTTCCTCCATGCGTGTCATTCCTCTTCGCTTCCGTTCACAAGCCACACCAGCATGCCTTCATTTCCCAAGTGGCGTATTGACCTCGCGGCCGATCGCGTGACTGACTGCCTTCCCAAGCATTCCTCATGAAGCGTGCAGTGAGGTGATCTGAGAAAGGGGGGCAGGGACGCCCAGACCCGATGGAAGTGAGAGGCGAGTCGCGTTGACGCGAGACGCGCTGCTCGATCAAATCGTGCACGCAAGCACACCCGGACACGACCTCCACGCACGATCTGGGACGCCACTATCCCTTTCGACCTAGTACCTAATGCGCGTCGTACGCGCTTTTCCCAAGCGCCCGCACTGGCCACCTATGAGAATGGCACTTTGAAGGTAGAGTGTACAATGATGATACGAGATTACAGCAGGAGATGGTAGTCAAGTACTATCCGCGCCTTTCCGTAAAGTAGAAATTTGAAACATTGCAATTCGTATCAGGGTCGTGTCATACCGCTATTGGTTTTCCGGCAGGGGCACCATCAGCGGTCGAAAAATTGGACAGCGCGTATACATGCTCGTCGCTACTCCGATCGACGGATTCCTATAATGAGACAGAAGATTCAGTCGAGCGCTCGAGACTGAAGTACTGATTGGCGGCAATAGCGTACCGCAGGTTTCCAGTCCAGCATGGGGCCGCTGTTGACCTTGCGTTCGACTCGCTTTGGGCGGCCGAATGAGGAGCGAGCGCCCGCTTCCGCATCAATCCGACGCTCACGATCTTGCGATACGTGAATCTGCATCCCTCCGCTATTGCCGCTGGCACCACTGCCTGAAAGTGTCTCGTGTCGAGATTCAGAACGGTGACTGCGGAAGACGCGCCCGTTAAGTGTAGACAGGAAAGAGTTGCTGACCAGGGGCATTAGGCACGCTACAGAGTTTCGGAGACTCATTGCATACCTATAAAGTTTGCCGAGGATGTACGCCCTAGGGTACATTAGTCTACGACCATGCAGCCATGGTGAGAGAGCTCACGTAGCAAGGTGGAAGTTCTGCGTCTTGTAATGTTCCCAAAGAAAGAGGTCCTACATGAGCTCAGGTCAATATATTCCGTCAAAGAATGAATCATCTTACGACACCAGCCACAACTGCCGTGAGAAGCCCAGTCTGAACAGTATTCGCAATCAGGCGGTCATACAGACTCTGTGATTGAGCCCAAGGTGACTGTGTTCGAGCTTGGTAGAGCTAAGGCAAAGATGAGAAGATGCACGAGAACATATTGACAAGCGCACATACCAATCCTATCATGCAAGCGGCGATGATCATGTCGTTTGCGAAACTTCCTGCCAACCATACCTGTACATGGATCAGCACGACGCCCATAGCAATAGTATGAATGCTGAGAAGCTCCGACATACATCGATGCTACTTTGGATCACCGGCAGAGACGATACTGAGCCACTGCTGACATATACCTGGCAAAACGTGCGGATCGAGATTACGTGCAAGCCAAGTTCGTAAGTGCATACTCACAGTTATAGACGACGCCCAGCCCGCGGCGCACTGCATGAGAGCTACCTGAGAACTGCATTAGCCACAATGCACACAACAAAGCTACGACGCCACGCACAAGAACAATCAAGACGACTGGTAGACGAATCCACTGTACTCGAGTTAACGTCCAGATACGCCTATAGCAAGTGTCAGTACTCGCAAAGCAAGAAACGCGGAGAACATCGACGCACCAAGCGTAGAACGACTGAACCAAGAGCGCAACTTGATGTCTCGAAGTCAGCGCTAGTCTTCGAGCTGTAGTGGTTCTCTGGCACTCACTCAAGCCGTCGAATATGGGGATGGTGGGAGCACTCCAGGGTATCACGTTGATGATGACAGCCGTGTTGCCCCAGCTTTCGATTGCGTAAAACCAGCAGGCATGTGTCCCAGTGACGGTCTGCACAAGATCGAGAACAAAGACACCATAGACTATTGACGCGAGACGTCAGCCCAGTCGATAGCCCCAGTCGTCGGTTCAAGAAGTGTAGCGCACCAAGGGACTGGATCCAAATAGGATCCTGTTGTCGCTGCTTCGTATTTAGATAGATATCTTCTCGGGCCCATTTTAGTCAAGGCGAACTGAATACGACGAACGAACGCACACAATTGGACCGCCAAGCTACCAAGCAAAAGCCAATTGAGTATATTCCCTACGAACTGCGCCCCATGATTCGGACACTCGCGTCGTACTCGCACAAGGATCAACTCACGAGTGGGCCGACACTATCGTACAGTGCATCAGCGTATGAAGAGTGCGAGTCTAAGCCACTCACATTGTCTTAGGATCAGCTTGGAGCGCCCCAGAGGGCATGGGGATGGTGGACGTCGCATTAGAAGCCATAAAATACAATCGGCAAGACGGGCACTCTCAAGAGGAACTTGGCCTCCGACACTTCCGACACAGCAGTCTTGTAAGCGCTCAGCGACATAGGTCTCGTAAGCGCTCATAGAGGTCTTCGGGCAGTCCCAGTAGACCGAAACGTCTTTCCGAACCGATTCCGCCACATTCGGCCGGAGAAGCTGTTGTGATGGGACGCGGAGGATGGACGCTCAGTGGCAGGCGGCAGCACGCCTATCAGCGTTTGTCTATATCGGCGCCCTGTCTTGAAGCCATGCACTATCAGAAGAGTAAGATCAGCGCTCTGAGCTGATGAGTACTCAGAGAGAAGCTCGTACACGCTGAACAGGTGTGCTTTGGCGTCGTAGATGGGTGATAGCTCCGGGCGACTTAGTGCGTCCGTCGGTAAATGCGCAGAGCAGATCAGGACGTCACAGCACAGCAGCACCTCGTATCAGCACACGCTGCATATGCATCTCCAACGAGCCATTCTCGCTACATGCTCTAGCTGTGTTCAAGGTGGCAGCGAACCAAGCGATTTATCATGGCGGCGCGTCGCGTTCAACGTTACAGTCACAGGTTCGTGTCACTCAAAACCTGACACGCGGGCGGCTTGCGCGCGACGATGACTGACACTGACGATGATTGATGCGGCGAGAGCTGTAGTACCAGAACTGTTGTTTCGGTTTATTGCAAACTGAGGCTTATCCTGCTGGCGGTGCATATAGTACTCTCGCGACAGCAATTCACGGCCCACGGCTGCGGCGGCCTCGACTGCGGAAGCCCCTCGCGCCCATGCAGGCCCATGCGCGCGCCTGTTCATGATGTCTCTTCAAAGTTCATTGCCATGGCGCTTCCGATGCGTGTTTGAGGCGGGCAACACCGGCCGGGGCCGCACAGGGTGACGTGCATGGGGTGCAAGCAGCTCCATCTGGTTCTACTAGCCTACTATACTCGAAGTACGAGACCTAGCTTGGGCCCTTGATTCCAATCCTTAGGGGCGAAGGAGCTCGAGCGATTCTTCTGACCACGGCCTAATACGGCAGGGAAATGGCATAGGGTAACTGTCAAAGCAATCAGCAACATGTTGTTGCCGGCCATCTGCGAGTACTCACGAGAAGCTACCAGTTGTGAATCTCGCTTGGAGAGGGCCGCCCGCATCGGCAGTGGTGATCTCGAATACAGCCAATACCTGTGCTATTAGCAGCCACAGAGAGTCCTCCGCGAAAGCTTTACCGGGACAGATGCGTCGCCCGAAACCGAACGTTATGCGGCTCAAGTCGTCCCGTTGTAGTCGCCCATGGTCGAGGTGATGCTCAGGTTCGAATGTGTCCGGGTACGCGTATGTATCCGGATCGTGCAGAATATGCCTGGTATGGAGATGAGTGATACAGCTCATCGTTACGGCCAGGGATCGTACCAGATGTTCCCGACTACGATCGAGCCTTTCGGAAGGTAATACCCACGGTATTCGTCGTCTTGTGTCAGCATGTGCGGCACCCCTACACAGATGAGCAGCGAGTCAGCTTTGTTTCGGATGAGAAAATTGATCACTCACCAAGCGGCCCAGGTGGATTCCAGCGGCAGGTTTCTCAAACGATAGCGGAGACATACGGAAGAACGTGTCGATCACCGAAGTCTGGCAAGCGTCTCGTTCCAACAACGCGCATAATCTCTGCTCGACCTTTCGACTGGACATCTGGATACATAGCCATAGCAAGGAAGAACGAGTTCACGGACGCGGTAGTCTGCCATGATGAGTGCGAGATCCAAGGTAAGTCCGAGCATAGCGCACCGTTTCGGAACCACCTAATGGGCCGTTAATAGCCAAGAGCGCGTAAAAATGCATGTGCTTCAGTCACCTCCATATGCAGCAGCTGAGCAGTCTTTAACGAATTGCTCATGTTCCTGCACGGAGATCGACGGAGGGCGTTCTTCGGAGAGATGCTTGGCGAAGCAATATGGCGTGTCCTACGTGTAGATTAGACCTTGAGCCATTCGCCAATGTAGGGAGAGACGGACAGCACCACTTCCTTCTGCCATCAACTTCAGCGGGAGTTCGCGGAATTGGTGATTGACTGTATGCCACTTTCGCAGGCGATTAGCAAGACGATTTCCTCCGAGCCATCCGGGCAAGTAACGAACTAGTATCGTCAGACTCATCTTAAGCGTTGCGTTCAAGGCGTACAAGACTCACGCAGGATTTGCGAATTCAGGAACCACATCTCCGGTCGTGCTATGAAGTCTACACTTTCGAGCACAGACCTTGCATTGATTATCAGTTCGTCCTCACAGGACTCTACGTTCAGCCCATAAGTCGCGCCCAAGATGACTTGGGCAGCATATCTGCAAGCATCGCATGAGTTAACGAGATGTCGAAAGCACAAGAGATTGCTCACAACTGGGCGTGCTTCATGAAGGACCCAGGATCGTCCACGAGGTTGTGCAGAAGATTCATGACGGCAGAAGAAAAGATGGGATATATGTCGGGAAAGGGCCGTCCGAACCGTGCCGCGAAGGTTCGACGTCTAGCTAACCAAGCCTTCCCGTAGGGCATGAAACCGAAGTTCCACTCTTGACCAACGCTAAGATGAATCAGCGGTAGATCCATGATCTATCCGTTTTGGGAATACGTACTGCGCTTTGAGGGGCAAGGGCGGCCGATCTGGGTATATCGAGGACCGCTTGTCAAGCAAGTCGCTAGTTGCGTCGATGGAGTTGAGCATGATGATGTGCTTTCCAAGAACATGGAGGTGTACGATGTCGCCTGTGCAAATACACTATCAATCCCTCTTCTATATTGTGAGATGATCTGGGACTCACCATAGGTGGATGCCCATCTTTGCCAATCCAAGAGGTCTGGGAGACCGAAGATATAGCCGAGAAAAGGTAGCCCGCGAGGGCCCGGAGGATAGCGTTTGTTGCGTGCGAGAAGAAGGCGCCGAATTAGGAGCGCTCCGAGTACCACCATGATGAGATATTCGGAAGGCATAGCTGCCGTTCTGACGAGCGTCCCAGTTGTATGCAGAATATTGAACCCCAAGGGGTAGGATTGCGTGCGCAGCCCTATGGTGCGTTCGACGATCTGTTTATACCTAATCGAAAGAAAGGGGCCGCAGTGCGTATGGCGCCAAAATGCAGCACGAATGATGCGCACGATGCGAGGAAACGTCCTTACACCGGTTCGGGAGCTAGAAGGCCTGAGATCGACCATGCGCGATCCTACAATCAGCGCAGATCGTCAACGCGGATGCAGTACTCAGACTGCAGAAGCGGTATTGGGAAATCACAAGTCTTTGATTGTTCCGTGTCGTACGGGAGTCGTACATCCTCAACTGACGACACGAGGAACATACTACAGGGCTGTGCGCCTGTCTGGAGGAGTACGTATCACGGCATCCACGGTATCTAATACCATGCAGCTCCTTGTTCGGGGTAACCTTCAGGTCATTTGGGTTAGCTACTCTGTCTGATATAAGGTGGTAATACACTCACAAAAGATCCCCCTCGCGGTGCCCGGCACCGGCTTTACGGTATCCAGCCATACTATTGATATACCAATCATGAGCACCCTTTGCGCGAGTATCTAAGCCTTGCGTGTAGCGCGGCGGCTGCAGAAGCCGGCCGACTTGACGGGAGGGTTGGGGCTGGGCTAGGGACATGCTGGTCGAACGGATGCAAGGTTCGGCGATCACGTCCTCGATATACTCAGTCGAGCCGACTGTCCAGCATACACAGACGGTGCGTCTAGCGACGAGCCTCCAACAGTTGAAGTCGAGGACATAAGTGAAGAAAGATCGACGACAGAAATGGCCGTTGCGGACGAGGCTGCCCAGTGCCCACTGTCTCGCATCGGTCTTTGGGGCTGCTAACGCCGATGGCGCCGTCAACGCGTGACCCGGCCCGACACGACCGCCAATGGTCCGCCGATAGCCAACACAATGCTGCAACCTGCTTCGCGCGACCACTATGCATGGCATCGCTGTAGAGGCTTGTATCGTCCGTTATCGCAGAATACAGTCCGTTCTATCCCTTAGTACAAGGGCACAAGACAGATCTCACGACGATGGTGATGATCGTTGCCAACACGCGCAATTATCAAGACGGCCTTTCCCTCGCCACAAAGCTGCCATCTTCGAGGGCTGCGTATCCAGGATGGTCGTTGCTGCAGATACTGACCACAATGATATACATGGGTCGGAAATACTGTCTAGTAAGTCTCACGCGAAGTCTAGCGCCGCTGCCCCAAAGTTATCCAAGTCTAATATCCTGCTCGCAGAATACGCAAACACTGCGCTTTGAGAACTCGCCACAGTAGGCATCGTGGCCTCTCAATTGGGCCGAGTCGTACCCACGAGTGGCCACCCATGACATGCATGAAAACCTCTTGGCCAATCATGCGCCAGCAAGGCACGCTACTGGAAATCAGGATAGAAGCGCACTCAATTCGGCATGACATCCATGGGAGTCCTGCGCGACAACCGGGCGTTCATAAGAACCTACCAGATGCAATACACCTCGCCGTTGCACCCTCATGCCTCACGTCTCGACTACGACGGCCACGAAATGCCCACCATCGGTGTAGCCGCTGCGCCCGACTTCCCGCCGCCCGATTCACATGTCGTCAACTTTCTGTAAGCTTATCTCCCCCGACAGCATTGAACAGCGCTGACAAGTGACCAATCAGCTTGGCCCCAGACGTATGAGTCTCAGCCAGTGGCGAGTCAAGCCTACCTAACATCATCGATTACAGCTAGTAGGCAACGCACTGGGCTGGTTTCTGTACGCTCGGCTCTGGAGATCTTCCGTTTCCAGCTCTCATATATTTACAGCTATGGACTTCTCGTACTGCAAACATGCGCGCCTGTTTACTCAGATTCATCTACCCATGATGTTCAACGTTGTCCTAGATCACTATCGCAAACGTTCTCGACGCGACCATCCGGGTATTAGGCTGACAGGTATGTATGTGTCATCTCATCATCTCAACACTCTCTGAATGGGGATTTTTAGTATGGGGTTTATTCGTACTAGAAACTGCGTTGACCGTGATCACCACACGCGTTACGTATAACCTGTTATGCAATGGATGGGGTGATCCCAATGCGCTCATGCGACTCACGAGAGTAGACGCGTTCATCCCGGTCACCTCGGCTTTGGGTGAGATTCTAGATTGCGAACCTGGGCGAATGGTATGCTAAGGGACCCTTAGTATCAGGGTGGGTTCAGGCATTCTATGCGTGGCGCATCTACGAATTGAGCCATCATGCCCGACCATGGAACTGGGCTTCAGGCGTGGTCATCTTGGTTCGTATACTGGACATGCATTCCGGCTGCTTCTGAACATCTCGACATAGTTCATGTTGACTTCAAGCACGGCGGGTTTCTACTCTGGACTCAGGGTAAGCTGTGGGATACTCTATTAGTACAGTGTCAAGTCTGACACCTGGATCTGTAGACTATCAACTTCACCAGTGTATCCGCTTTGAGCGAGATCCAACCGGCGTTGATGGTGTGGCTGATTGCCTCTGCGCTCTGCGACACTCTCATTGCTTCGAGCATGATCTGTATAGTAAGCTGCTGACTCACTGCTCACGTTCACCGAGCTGATCTCGCAGCTACATCGCATGCGTCGACTCGTAGCAACAGTGGAAGACTTCGAAAGCTACGAGGGATCTTTGGAGGGACGGTTGAGAAGTATCATCGTCATGTCCTGTACGCTTGCTATTCTCGGAATCGTACCGCCAACACTGATACGCCCAGCAGTGGAGACATGCCTTCTCACAACGACTCTAACTGTCGCCATGCTGATACTCTTCATTGTCATCCCCGAGAGTCGGCTTCCGACGATGATGTAAGCTCGATGTCTATCTCAAAGACATGGGAATTGATTGAGGTATGACAGGGGCTTCATCGTCTCAAAGCTATACTCTAATAGCTTTCTCGTCTCTCTAAACTCGGTGCGTCACCCTGGGAGCTTCTCGCTCGCTAGATCCCATCCCTAATGCAAGTTATAGAGAAAGCAAGTCGTTTCGGGCGCCTCCGAGCAAAGAAGCGCAACTTTCCAGTTGGAGACCTTCGCTGCTGCCTCGAGTCATGGCGAAACGACAGTGGTGTCTTCGTATCCGGTCACTCCCGTGACAGTAGAGATTGACGTATCCGAAAGCCGGGGGCGTCGAAGACGGGCGGAAGATGAGGTATGTCTTCTACTGCAGCCACGGCACCCCCAAAGCCGGACCCCACTGACCATGCTGTGACAGAAAGTAGCTTTGTAGCATGTCTCGACTGTCCGCGAACGGATGCGATGTACAAGTCTTCCGCAATGGCCGCATGTTGGTCTCCGTTACGAGCTGTCCTCCGAACCTCCGAACATGACGGGCACAACGAAACATCCGGAGGTCGCTCTTATGAGCCGAATTGCGCGGGTCATAGCTCCTTCGCGAATGCACAGAACTGCGTATTAGCCCGCACCTGCACGCCAGTGAGAAGACAACAAGCGAGAGAAGATGTAGTCGCGCAGCAGGACCGCACCCAGTCACTTCACGCGTGGAGCTGCTTGCTTCTCGGCAACTCGCGGGGAAGGCTTCCTGTACTATTCAGCCAGTCGCTTCACGTATCAGGACCTTATATATGCCCATGAGTATCAAAGCGTGTATTCGCCATCATGAAGCATTGTCGGGCCAGCTGCTGTTTCGATCACCGCGGAGGCTTCTCCCGTGGCATCGAATGTCTCGAGTCTCGCGGAAGATGAGCATGTGAACCGAGGTTCTTTAAAGCTAGTGGGTCACGGTATTTACGAAGACATCGATAGAACCAGCAACTAACGCCTCTGTCTGCCTTATCTCTCTAGCCTGTTTATCGGCTACCAGCTCACCGTGACAACATGGCATCCGACTCGTCAGCCGGCGGCGACACCTCGCTTGGCCCGTCAATGCTCAGCACGAGCACCGTCAACCTATTGTATGCTCCAAGTCCCATAAGACCTTACTTACGTGCCCCTCATACAAGAGCATTGTAGTCTAGCCCCAGATGTACGTTGCTCGATGTCGTCGTATTCAGTCACCCAGGCTGACTGAAAGTGAAGCTGATTGGCACGGTCATTGGATGGTTCCTGTGCGTATCGCGCTGTATCTGCCGATAGCATGCTTAAGCCTTATACCTCTAGCTACGGTGTTCTGGTCCTACAGATATGTGAGTTGCAGGTCGCCCTGGCTAACTCGTGTCAACAATCCGCTGCCTTTTAGATCACTACCGCAGAAGGAGACCAATCGACCCTCTTGCGATACGAGCGACAGGTGACGCAGATCTACCAAACGTTGACGCCCCAAACGCTCATAATGCACTCTCTAGTATGGGGAGTATTCATGCTCGAGACGATTCTGAGCGTCGTTGCAACCCGTGTTACCTATGCTCTTCTCTGCGAGGCATGGGGAGATCCTCGCGCCTTATTCATGTTCACCGTCGCGGATGCTTTCGTTCCCATCATATCGGGACTTGGTGCGCTATTCGCTTCTTCCCGCAGGAACACGGTGCTTGCGCTGACCAGCATATAAAGTCTCAGGCTGGGTGCAGACCTTCTATGCGTGGCGCATATATGGTCTAAGCAATCATGCGCGTCCTTGGTCTGGTATTGCCCTCCTCGTACTCTCGGTACGCTCAGAGCTATCAAGTGCAGAGCGAGTCTGATATCATCTCGATAGCTCATGTTGACATCGAGCGCAGCTGCACTCTACTCGGGAATCAAGGCAGGTATATGCATGGACGGCTGCGTGCACACGACCGAGTTGACAGGCACACAGGCAGCTCAGCAACCTGACATATTTGCGCTCGATGATAGCAGGCCTATAATATTGCTATGGCTGTCATCGACGTTCTGCTGCGATACTATCGTTGCCTCAAGCATGATCTTCATTGTCAGTGACAGCAAACACTACCTCTGGGACTCGTATAACGTAGCCTTCTAGTTGCATCGAATGCGTCGACTTCTGGCTATCGCAGATAACACCGACAATCCTTTCGAGACAAGGCTGACAAGCATCATATTCATGACGCGTGCGCGTTCTCACTTTTTTGAGATCTGAACGTCGCTGACGAAGAGATTGGCAGTTGAAACGTGTCTACTTACCACAGCCTCGATTATAGTCATGCTCGTGTTCTTCCTTACTCTCCCGCACAGCCGACTCCTTCCGATGATGTACGCCCTCCATATCAACACGCGTGTCTGACTTGAACCGAGCGCAAATAGGGGTTTCGTCATTTCCAAGCTCTACTCGAATAGCCTGCTGGCCTCCCTGAATTCGGTTAGTTCAAGGGATTGAATCGGTAGGTCGACACTCACCCCACTTCGCAGAGACCAGTTTCCATCGACAGCGAAGATGACTTTGACACCTCGCTACTAGAAACATTCGTGGCCACCTCGCGCGCTGATAACAACACTACAACCACGTCCCCTGCGAGCCCGGTGACCGTGGAGATCGACTTTGAAGGGGGTCCAGATTCCCTGAAGGGGACCCGTCGTGCACAGACTATCAGTTGACAATCTCTATCCCCATGATAACGAGAGTCCGATACGTGTTCCCTGTAGGAGCCGCTTACCAGGCTAGCCAGGCCGGCATCTTGAATTTTAGAAGTGTTTTTCAGTACGACGATTTGTCGCTTCAACTCTTCTTTGTAGACCGCTGTCAAAGATGTCATGCACCCATCCTTGCAGTATTACACGTGTAGAACGAGGACATGGCCATAGCCCGAATATGGCGGGTGAAGGGAGAAGGCGAGGCAGAAACGAGACGCCGCCGCGAAGGGCGCGCAACGTGAGAAAATCGGCGCTCGGGCCGATGAGTAGCGCACGCTTGCCTGGGCTTGCACCGCGTCTGTGCATCGTAGCTTCCACGACGCGATGATGCCAACTTACTATCTACCACGACTGGCATCACGAGGGGCCCACCTCATTCAGATTACTTCTGTGCGTAATGACACAGCGGGTTGAATACGACACCGTGGAACTACATGGGCATCCGCAGAAAGCCGCAACTCGATGCGCTTCGAATTCTAGCGCCCGTGCGCCCTATAATTGGATTGCAACTCTCCAGCCCTGATACTGAACCCGCCCTTCAAAATGCCGGTCTTGAAGATATCTTTACTTGTTATGGTCTGGGCTAGCTCTTACGTCGCCTATACGTCGCCAAACCCAACGCCTCCCAAGTCTTCGTATCGGAGCATGGGGCCAAGTCTCTGGGCTTCGCTATTCCTGCAAAATCGGTACAGCGGGGCAAGGGCCATAATGCAGAAGGTACGGATGCAAGTCACCGCTCTGTGGACGAGCGCTAAAGCTAGGACGTGAACCTCCAGATCTTCTTGTCCGGCGTGATACTGCTCGAAATCGCATTCGCAAGCGGGATACCGAGCATACGCGAATCATTGCCCAGCGTCACAGCTTCGACTCCCCCCAGCTTTATCTCTCCGTTGTTCATATTCGGAGTCGCCTTCGCCCTGTGTGGGGCCCTCGTGCGCCTTTGGTCGTACCGTGCCTTGGGCGTACAGTTCACCTTTCAACTGTCGCTCCTGAAGGAACACAAGCTCGTCATCACTGGCCCGTACGCTTATGTGCGCCACCCGTCCTACACGGCCTTGGTCACGACCCTCCTCGGCATCCTCGTCTGCGAGCTATCTCCGGGATCGTGGTACGTGGAGACACGCGCTTTCAACAGCCCTCTCGGTAAGGGCATGGCGCTGACCGCAATTTGCTGCTTCGCAATTGTTCTATCGGTCGCCTCCCGCGCCCCGAAGGAGGATCAGTTGCTATCTGAAAGGTTTGGACGCGAATGGAAGGAGTGGGAGAAAAGGGTTCCATATCGTTATATTCCCGGCATCCTATGAGCATGTACTACACGGGCTTGTATATAAATCCAGTATATCCCGCGCTGAGTTGAGCTGTACGGCCTTCGCAACAAAAACAATACAACATCGTATGTTTGAGAAGAACGAACCTCAACGGTGTACTTCTGTTCCTTATGCGCCCCCGAAAGATTGCTAGACAGCGATCAATGTTTTGTTGATTTGATGAGGTCTGCAGCGCGCTCAGCGAGGACGTAGGTCGCAGCTTGCGTGTGCCCTGATATGATGAATGGCTATGGTTTCGTGTCAGCAGGGTCTCGGGATGATATCGCCAACGCCGCTCACGAAGGCAGAGGCATCCACAACACGCAGACCCGTCGTCCCCTTGACTGTGAGATCGGGGTTAAGCGCGCCGCACCCGGCCTCGGTACACCCTGCACGGCCCATGGGCACTGTCGCGACGACATGATCAACTGTGTCGCTGTTCGCGCGAGCAAACGCCTCGATCTCCTCGTCTGTCAGCGCATCTGCAAAGTCGCCGAACTCGGCCACGATGTAGTCCGCGAATGCGGGTGCCGAGACGAAGCGTCGAGCCATCTTGATACCCTCGCGCAGAATCTCGATGTCGACGGGTGCGCTGAGGAAGTTGGGATCAATGACGGGTTTGTCGAGCGGATCGAGTGACCCGAGAGTAATGTTGCCACCTGTGATTGGGTCAGCAATGTATGCAAGGAGATGGGGACGAAGCATTGCATACGCGACGCAGGGGAGATCACGTTGACGATGATCGTGAAGAAGTTGCCCTCACTAGGAGGTTTCTGAACCTTGCTCACGAACTCGTCCTTCGAACCAAGTTCAGTTCGTGAGATCTTGGGACACGCATACGAAGGACGTACAGAGAAGATCAGCTCGATATGTGCACTTGTCGGGCCTGCGCTAGGGTCTTTGGCCGTTGAGAAGATGCTTGAGTTGTCGGGGATACGGAGCCAGCCAAAGACGTTGTTGGGGCCGTCGGCAAGGAAACCCGTCCGTGTGGTGTTCCACTGCTCAAGTAGCTCAGCTGCGAGTGTGGCATCGTTGCGAATGTTGTCGAACGTGTTGTTCGACGATACATTCCAAGACACGGGCATGAAGACATGGTCTTGTAGGTTCTGACCCACGTCCGGGAGATCAACGAGCGGAGTGACGCCAACGGATGAGAGGTAAGAAGCGTCGCCGATGCCCGCAAGAAGCAGAAGATGCGGGGACTTCACCGCGCCCGCGGACAAGATCAACTCGGACTTCGCTGTCACCTGGAAGGTCCTGTCTATATACTCTGGTCAGCACTTGGAGCTAAGTGCAGATGGCGAAAAGACTCGCTTGTCCTTGAGTTGAGAAGCTCCACGGTACGGATGTCCGGCGTTCCATTTGTCCTCTTTGTCGGGATTAGCTTCGTAGCCAGCGTATTCACGACAACTTCAAGATTTGGTCGCTCTAGTGCGGGAACGAGAAAGGCAGATGCAGAGGTGAAACGGGCTCCCTCAAAGATGGTCGACTGTACCCATGAGATGCCAAGAGGGTCGCCGGAATTGTAGTCTTGATTGAAGGGAAACTCGCTCGAGAGTTCCGCAGACGCGTTCATACTGATGAAGTCCACTGGTACGAGGGTTGACGGAAGACTGATGTTCAAAAGTCCGGTTGTTCCGTGAACGGCTGGATCGAACTGGAAGCTTATGTTGTGGCCATCGACCGGAGGGGTGACTACATCTAACTAGGGAGGCTGAGTCAGTCATATGCCGTTGAAATTCGACAGAGATGGGTACTCGTACGTTCAGAAAGCGCTCATGCAGCGCGTCCCAGGTCCATCCGCTGTCCGCGGTAACGTTCGCCCACCGGTCGTAGTCGTCCCTAGAGCCACGGCTGTAGACAAAAAGATCTTCCCCAATACCTTTAGTCAAGAATGTCGCAATATGTAGCGTTTGAGGGTACTCACTAATAGCAGTCGAACCTCCCAAGACATGACCTCGTGGATATTTGACGGTACGACCATTATACCCGGCTTGAGGTATGGTTGTGAAGTTCCAATCCTATGGGAGACATCAGCTCTCATATCTTCGGCCATGGCAGCCGCGACACTCACGAAGACCGTGTTCGAAAGTTGTACCGCGTCCTGTGGCACCTCGATCTTGAGATTCTCGAAATCGCTGGGCGAACTCGTCAGCGATGCCACTCATTACGGCGCAAGGCGGGAAGAGAAGTGTACCTGGAGCCAGCTTCGATCAGAAGGACGGTGGTGTGTGGATCTTCCGACAGACGGTTCGCCAACACAGCGCCCGCTGCACCCGCTGGAAGAATTTTGTAAGAAGCAAACCCCTCTTCGACGGCTCACACCATTGATCAACGCACCTCCGATGATCAAGTAATCAAAACCTCGGTCTAGGAGACTCTGACTGACTTCTTGATGAAGAGCCGCGGAGGCGCGCGATGCAAAAGCAAGAGCGAACGCGAGGGGCGGGAGGCGGACCAACATGGGCGCTGTCGCGGTCTCCGACGTTGGGAACGACGCAACAACCGCGTCCACTATTCCATGACGGTATATATGGTCAGGAGTTATGCCGGACGGCCGGACGAATCGCACCATGCGATGTTTTGTAGGTATAGGAAGCCTTGATCTCAATCAATCGTGCTTTCCCTGGGCTGTTGAATTTGCGTTAAACACGCAAGGCGTCCAGAATAAACCTAATATGAGGTAATGGTGCCCCAGATCAGTACAGGCCTGTCATCCTCCCGATTCCAACGCATCTCCCTGCCCTTGAGGTGGCGAATTCAAGGGGCCGTTGCCTTGCTAGTTCTGGCCGGTGAGAATGGGCGCTGGGAACCACGGTCTTCATTGAGAGAAGTGTGAGAGCCCTTGATCAAAAGAAGACCCTCAGTTCGGCACTATGTACGGCCGTCAATCAACGGTTCCAGGAGCTTCAGTACCTGGCAACATACCTGCACCCCGGTGTATCATCATATGATTGCCCTTGGCGCTTTACTCCCCGTGGGCAGCGAAGGCGAATGAGAACCTAGAGAAATAACTGTATTCAGTTGGCTTGTATGAGCGCAGTTGCACTGCGACGGAGGGGAAGGGAGCAGGCGCCTTGCGAGCGTGAATAGCAATGAGAGGCGGTAGCGTCCTTGGAGGACTTGCGAAAGGGAGACGTGCTACTCGTGCACTTCAAGGGGATAGAGTCAGGTCTTAGCTACGCCTTGCGTGAGGCATAACGCTACGTTGACCATCGTCAAGTACATGGTGTATCGGCACAGAGTGAGGACCGCGTATCGTGGCGTGCAACACGGCCTGCATCGCGTCTCCCCCTGCCACTGTCGCGGACGCGTCCCGCGATAGCCACCCTTCGCTGAGGCGCCGTAACGCCCAAGTTGTCGATCAATCCTCAGCATGGCGCACCCTGGGCAAGTTCTGAAGATGAGATTCGATATTTCATGGTAGACCCGTCCTGGCCGCGAGGAGGGAAACGCGCTGATGCGCCGCGCATCGGAGGGATTATTAATTTCCCACGACTAGAGCGCTGCGTGCCGCTGCTGAAACCTAGCTTGAGACCCTTTGTATAGACCTCCTGCTTTTAGACAACATCTGGTCTCTACAGGCTCTGAGGTATAGTAGCGGGGAGAGCTGATCGCTTCAGCCGGGACATTGGAGGAACGACGTGTGAGACTGGCTGCGGCACGGCGCGGCGATGCAGACTCGGAATGTTCTCGACGAGAGATGCTACAGTATCTGCTTATTGCTCGTCCTGTCCCACTGTTAAAAAACCGCTGAAAGCTTCGTCACTATTTTTTATCTGAGCGCTGGAGCCGTTCGCTGTTGAACTTCAAGCTCAGTATGAGGAAACGGACACGCAACGGAAAGAGCAGAGATTGATCGGATCACGACGTGTTCTGGCAATCGCCGGTGGACCGGTGCCTGACACGGATTTTGCAAGTGGGAAACCTAGTCAAGCTAGGTAACTTGGCGGTGCCGATGAGCGCCGAGCGCGAGCCGCTGATCTTCCTTCAAGCCTACGAAGACAGAGTGCTTAGACCACCATTTATCTACCGACCCGACGGAGCCGCTCCTGCATGACGCTTTCAACTGCAGAAGGTAGAGGCAATGCTCAACAACTTGGAAGCACACAGTTACAGCAAGTACAGGCAAGACAGCGGGTCTATGCTGGTAACTACAGTCAAAGCATACATATGGAGTCATGTCAACGGGCGGATGGAGAGCATATATCAGTCGCGGGTTGGCATCGGATGTGCGAAGTTGATTTCCGTACGAGGGTACTTCTGCGTCGGATGCAACTCCATATCGTCGTCATCCTGAGAGCGCGCCTAGCGTCAGACATGGTTAGCAAACTATGAGCCAGCGAAAGAGCTCAGACTCGCCTTGTGCATGTCATCCATGCTGTCAGGTCCGACTCGCTCAACTTGCGAGGTGACGTGCACCACTGTGTGCTGCCGGGGCGTACGAGGTTCAAATCCTGACATGGAGGTGCTCGTTGGCATCGTCATCGGATCGTCCGTGGCTGATCTGTTCCAGAGCCTGGTCCTCCGCGAGTTCAGATTCACCATCAAGGTGACGGCGTATACTAGACAGAGGGTCAGCCTGTATACGTGGCTGCCGATAAAGACTCGCCTTTGCTCAATAGGAAGGAGAAGAAGAGGTGCATGTTGTTGTTTGGTAGAGACAAGAAGATGATTAACTCGGTGATTGCGGTCAAGACACACGCGAATCCCTGTGGGCGAGTCCATCAGACATTACTCGCAAGTCGAGGAGGAACACGTACTGTCTCGACTGTCAGCCGGATGAGCCTATTGATGAGCAGTTCCGTCTTCATGATGCCGTTATCGCGGTTACGGGCACCCATGAGCTACGGCAATCATCAATTCATCGTGCTATCGCTGGCGCTCGCGTACGTGGCGCACCAGCTTGACCATTGAACACATAATCAACTGAAGACGAGTCAGCGAATGCCCATCCCTCACGCTCTAACAATCACCCACCAGGTCCGCGATGGAACCACCGCCCAGCCAGATCTATCAGTCTTGTCAGCAAGGCCCATGCAACCGGACATGTTGAACAGACGATAGTGCGGGCGAACATAGAGGGAAGATGTAGCGAACTTGCATCCTGCATGAAGGCGTACTGACGTGGACTGAGTATGTTGAGACGTGGAGTACAAACTCTGACAGCGCTCACCTGGATTCCTATGCCCCATGCAGCTCCGGTTTGCGCCAAAGCAAACTACGGCCGTCACCGTCATGCATGCGGTTTTGATGGTCGCGAAACTTACGAAAATGATGGTGGCTGGTATGATCCTCCAGGCTCCGAATCGGTAGATGCGCCTAGACAGACCATGGGTTAGCATTCACGAGGAGCCTGCAAGCATAGCACGTACCAAGCATAGAATGTTTGAACCCATGCGGCAACTGCCAGTCGAAGTGAGTTCAGCTAAGCGTGTTATATAGCTCGGCTTACCCAGGCTGGATACACCGGGGACGACGATGAACGTCCAGCCAGGGAACTCGATGAGTTCTGGGCGTCCCCATCCCGCAACGGCAAATCTCCACCCCCTGGCGGCGACAACAACGCTATGGACGAGATCCACCAGAAATACTCCGTAAACTACATGACATAGTTAGCACTTGTACCCAAAGTGGCGAAGTTAAATCACAGACCTGAGCCTACGATCCACCGGTTCTCTTTGGAGAACGAGACGTAGTATATATCTGCCAACGGGGTTAGTCGGGCGTCTTCTGCATAGGCTCATTACTCACAAAGCTGCACACAGGAGATTCCGAAGAAGAGGTAGCCTATCAGGGCCCCTATATACTAAACGAAGCTTGTCAACATTTGAATCACGATGCACCAAGTCAAGGACTTACGACGGGTCCCACTCTGAGAGACAGAAGTCAGGCTAGTCAGCACCACGCATAAGTATAGTCAGACAGCTCTATCGGCGCACATAAGTGTCATGTCCGGGATGACATTAGTGGCCGCCGTCGTATTCGACATGGGAACAGCTACCACAGCAGCACGGGAAAGGGAAGTGAGAGCGTGTCGGAGCGACAAAGAAGCAGCCGATGCGAGCTTGATTTAAGGCAGGACCACCCGCGCGAAGTTGATCTCGGAGGGTGAACGCCACGACGGGTGCACAGTCACGGTAACGCTGAACTGTATACCGAAGGAGTTATCCGGTGCCTTTGCAGTCTGTATGGGCGTAACAGCATGTCGGCGGTGTCCGCGAGCTTCCCCTGGGGCGCTGAGCGACACACATGAAGCTTATTTACCCCGTCGCTCTTCTTCGCCACCCAGGTGACTTGAGCTGACCGCTCGCTCGCACATATCATCCCACCCAGAAGACAGATCGACGACATTTAGACATGATATGCCGTCGTATGGAGCATTGACCCACACGATGTCATGGAACAGGGTATCGCGGCAATCTCATCTGTTGTCCTTGCCACACCCGCACATTCCTACATGTCATGCCCGGTAGCATCGCCACACCCCGCGTTGTCCTATGGAATGTTGCCGCTTCTCCCGCGGCGGCGCCTTCGCAAGAAGGTGATTGTTGACCATGACCATGGAGGGAGGTGGGAAGTAATGTTCAGCGCTAATAAGGCTCTCCTCGCAAGTGACTTCGACACGTGGACCCATCCCACGGCGCGGTCCGCGCCGCAAACTGCATAACGCCTCATCAGCCAACCCGAGCTGACCTCACCAATGTCGTCTTGAATCGAAGACGGCGCGTCGCTTTCGAACGTAATGTCATTCAAAGGAGCCTATCTGTCGCTACTGTCGCCTTGTAAGAATGCCGTCTGGCATCATGATAGATGTGAAGATGCGCAAAGAAGCACAGCGAGAGAAGCGAGAGAAGTAACATGGCACTGGCCCAACCTTGCTCCCCCGACTCGGTGGTGCAAGACTGCGAAAGATCATGCTCTGGTGTCCCCCGAGGTCTAGGAGTGGACATCATCCATTTACCATAAGTAGTCTTAGAGTATCTCGGCAGACCAGTGCGATATGAGAGTGTAACGGTGAATATTCTGGTCCGTCGGGATGCGGCGCCGACATTGTCCCTGTTCAAAGATTTGCGGCGTTCTGTTCAGCTTCGTTGAATCGTCTGCTCCCGCACCCTGATAGAGTTAGATCGGGCTTTCCAGCAGGTGTACCTACCATCCTCTCTCACAGTACTCTGCAGTCCAAAGGCGTGTACGGAAACTGAGCCGCGTCCTCGCATCGCTGTATGTATCATCTGCATGAACTGCATGAATAGTCACCTCCTCTGTAGTCGTTGCATGACCGCCTGTCTCGATTCTCGAAGATCAACACCGTACTTGGGAGTGACAGCACGCCGGGAGCCAAGTGTCAGTTCGCACACGGCTACATGCGTGCACGCGTCGTACTCGCTTGGAGACTTTAGAGAATCGTATTCGGAGGCTGTACTGCGTATGGGGCAGCAACTCATATGATGGTCAGGACGACAAGGAGAGTGTGTGTTTTGTTATTTAGAGAGCGCTGCATGTGCGAGGGCATGGCCGTTGGGATCAAGATGTGTTTCGTGTGCGCACGCCTTCTCAGGATGAGTTGTGACACTAGCAAAAACTCTGCAATCGAGGCTGACGAATGTCTACGTAGAATGTCCGAAGACACAACCTGCACACAACGTTACATGAGTGCCGACTGCAAGTTTGGCGGAGCCACGTCGCGCGACTATCCTTGCCTGCTTTGAAGTCAAACACCCTATCGATAGCTCGGGTGCAGAGTGCCTTCCGCCGCGGAGGTACACGAGTGGCTTAACGAGTCGCCCGGAATTTGTGAGGTGTCGCCTTGTTCCTCGTCCCGGTAGCTCTATCATGATACAGGACGATAGGTCAATGTACCAGTAGTGTTCAAACTTCAGGGTATGGTATCAAGTTCCTTGACGGGTTTGAATATAGTCTTTTGGATCCTACTGCACTCGCGGTTCGAGATTCGCGCTGATGATGTTGGACATGTAGCGTGTATATTTGTATATAAGCAGTCGCTTCGGCTGCTCGAATACACCATTCATACAGCTTCACCACTAGCAAGAACCTTGCAAATAGTTATGTAGCCAATGCGAGTGCGAATTGGGAGGATCATGGAGGTCGGGGGTTGAGAATTGCGAGCGTCCGCGGCGCGCGTCGCGCTGATGGGATTCAGACCTCCCAGGCTTGCCTTCCGCCACCACTCTATCGTACCTTCTGCCTCAGCTTTTGACACTTTGTCCCACGCTCTCCGTAAAAGATCAGAGCTTTGAATATCTGCGCGAGGAATCACCACTCGGAGGGCACCGATGAACGTATTCGCAAGAGCGGCGCCCAAGAAGGGTGCGCGTCCATCCTATACCGCACGCATGTCTATGTCTGACTCTCGAATTCTTATTAGGCGAGAACTTTGAGCTCCGCGCGGATTTGAACAGTGAATACCGGGATAAGCGGAAGGATGCGATCAAACGCGTAATCGCGAACATGACCGTCGGCAAGGGTGTGTAGCCTTACCGCGGTCCACTACTATAAGTTGGATTGGGCTGACCTCAATATTCCCAGATGTCAGCGGTCTATTCCCAGACGTACTCAAGAATATGCAAACGGAGGATATCGAACAGAAGAAGTTGGTTTACCTCTACCTGATCAACTACGCCAAAACGCAACCCGAACTCGTCATTCTGGCCGTCAACACCTTCGTGAAGGATTCGGACGACCCGAACCCTCTGATTCGTGCCTTGGCTATCCGTACTATGGGTTGCATTCGCGTAGAGAAGATCATCGACTACCTGTGTGACCCGCTGCAGAAGTGCCTACGGGACGATAATCCCTACGTGCGCAAGACGGCCGCGCTGTGCGTTGCAAAGCTGTACGACTTGAAACCCGAACTCGTGATCGAGAACGGCTTCTTGGAGCAACTACAGGACATGATCAGTGACTCTAACCCTACGGTATGAACATCGCTTGCTCTGTCGTGACAGCATCTGATGAATTCTGCAGGTCGTCGCAAACACCGTCACCGCACTATCCGATATCCACGCCGCAGCCACTGCCCAACCCTCGACATCAACATCCGACCCAGCGCACTTCCAGATCACCGCGTCTATATTGAGCAAGTTGCTCATCGCACTGAACGAGTGCTCAGAATGGGGACGTGTCGCTATTCTGAACGCTCTATCGCGATACGAGACGTCTGACGAAAAGGAGAGCGAACACATATGCGAGCGCGTCGTGCCACAGTTCCAGCACGTGAACGGCAGCGTTGTGCTCGGCGCAGTACGAGTAAGCGCTTATTTAGCGCTCATGTTCTACGCGTCGCTGACAAGTTCGCTAGGTAGTCATGATCCATATGCGGCATGTGAAGAGGGAAGAGCTCATCAAGCAGCTTGTTCGCAAGATGGCTCCACCATTGGTCACGCTGTTATCCTCGCCGCCAGAAGTGCAATGGGTTGCCCTCCGCAACATCAACCTCTTGCTGCAAAAGCGTCCCGACATCTTGCACAATGACATGCGCGTGTTCTTCTGCAAGTACAACGACCCGTTGTATGTCAAGGTGGAGAAGTTGGATATCATGGTCCGATTGGCGCACGAGAACAATGTCGACCCGCTATTGAGCGAGCTGAAGGAGTGCGTGGAGTTATTCTACAGAAACGCATGGTACTAACTGGAACTCTAGGTACGCATCTGAAGTCGATGTTGACTTCGTGCGGAGGAGTATCAAGGCCATCGGTCAAACGGCGGTCAAGATCGAGGCGGGCGCCGAGCGCTGCGTGAACGTCTTACTGGACCTCATTAGCACGCGCGTCAGCTACGTTGTGCAGGAAGCTGTCGTCGTCATGAAGGTACGCCACCCGTAGCCCTACTCACTTTGCCTTATGCTCACTCCGACATCGCAGGACATCTTCAGACGATACCCGCAAACGTACGAGGGCGTCATCCCAACCTTATGCGCGAACTTGGAAGAGTTGGACGAGCCCGAGGCCAAAGCGTCCCTCATCTGGATCATGGGCGAATACGCCAACAAGATTGACAACGCGGACGAGTTACTGGGCGTTTTTGTCGACACGTTCGCCGAGGAGTCGTACGCGGTGCAGCTCCAGACGCTCACGGCTGTCGTGAAGCTGTTCCTATACAAGCCCGATTCTTCACAAGGCCTAGTACAACGCGTACTGAACACCGCAACGAAGGACTGCGACTCGCCCGATGTCCGCGATCGAGCATACATCTACTGGCGCCTATTGTCATCCGACCCCGCCGCAGCGAAGGTATGCTCGCGATCCCGCATTTGACCATATTTGGTAACTGACCTTCCCCCGTCAGTCCGTCGTGCTCGCCCACCGACCGCCAATCGAATTGGCCGCGATGACAGTCTCGCCGGCACTGCTCAACGAACTCATCTCGGAAATCTCCAGCCTGGCGAGTGTATACCACAAACCCGCAGAGACCTTCATCGGTGCGGGCCGTGTGGGCACCGAGCTGCTCAAGAAGGCGGATGCGGAGGACAACAGGCGTATGACGCAGAAGGCACTGCAGACGGTCGCAGCCGGACAGCGCACGGAGAATCTGCTCGACTTTGACGACGATCCCATAGATGCTGGACAGCCGACGGGTTTGGCTGCGACACAGGTCCTCGCGCAGACGTCGCCTGCTGCTACGAACCTCATCATGGGCACGTCTGCGAACCCGCTGGACGATCTCGTGTCCATATTCGGCTCGGCCACTCTTTCGCCGCAGCAGTCGACGCCCGCGCAGGCGCAGGCGCCGTTCGGGTTTGCGGCGTCGCCCATGGCGCCTTCACCCGCACCTGGGCCTGTACAAAACGGGAATGTCACCAGCCCGCTGTCGGCGCAAAATCCACAGGAGGACTTGCTGGGACTGTTCTAGTTACTTGCCATCGGAAATGCATGTACTTTGCGGCGCAATATTCTATACAACTTGTTTCCTTATAGTAGAATTGGATCCAAATGATATACAGTGGATGGATATGCAATGACTTGGTGGACCCGACCATGTTGATGAATACATCGCGAGAGCCTCTACGCGAGCTCCTTGGTGCGGTACAGTAGCACGTATGCGCTCGCGTCCTCGCCTCCACCCGAAAGCGTCTGCAGTTTCTCTGCGGGGAAATGCGACACCTTCTCATCGTCGAACTTGTACCAGTCCTCATCGTCCTCGTCGAGCGCGCCGCCACGACCAGGAAGGGTTGTGCTTGAACCGGCCTCAGCGTCGCCAGGCTCAGGTGCCTTGATGGTCTTGGGATGGAAGACGGACTTCTTGACGAACGCGATGTAGTGTCCAGCGTCCGCCGCAGCGCCCTTGTGCGTGATGATAGCAACGAGATCGTACAGGCCGGTCTGGCTCGCGCCAAAGTCGGCCTTGATCTCTGGATCAACGAGCGACTCGAGCTCCTTGCGCTCCTGATCACGGTAGAACGACTCCTCCTTGAGCTCGCCGCCTTCGACTTCCGCAGCAGGCGCTGTGGCTTCGTCGACCTCCATAGGCGCCTCACCCGCTGATGCGGCGGGTGCAGCAGCGGCAATCGCGTCCGCGCGTGCCTTCGTCCGCTTGCGGACTTTGGTCCTCTCGCGACGCTCCTTCTCGATCTCGAGTAGACGGCGCGATACGGGCCGTAGTTTCTCCTTCAGACCGTCCGTCGCGAGCTCCACTGCGTCGTACTCGGTCGGGAACTTGACTTGCCGCTGTATCGCTGAATGAGGGAGTGAAGTTGCGCCGTTCGATTGACAGGACATACCATGATCTTTGCCTTCTTGTTGATGTCCTGGCGCCAGGTGAAGCGGACCATGTGTACCGTCAAGTACGTCGGCAAGCGTGCGAAGCGTGAGCGCATGGCGTAGTCGGCGTCGCGTCCGAGTGTTGGTGAGCGCTTGACGATAGTTTGGGTGAGTGCGTCTGAGATGCCGGAGTGCATGTAGTTGGTGTTTGCGTTGATGTTGCATTCTAACTTGTAAACGCGCTCTGTGCTGACGGTAGGCTCCTCCTCCGGTGCTTCCGCACACTTGAGTCTAAGTGGAGAAGTGATAAGCCGGATGATCTGTGAGAAGAAAAGGCGATACTGACTCGCGCACTATAGTGCCGGACATGAACGACTCCACGAACTTGTCCTGAGGTTTTGGTGCACCGGCGGGTCCAGGTACAGCGGGTATGTCACGAAGAGACTCTAATATCCTAGACCAACACTCCTCGGCATCTACAGATTGTGAGATAAGGCTGCCGCTCAAGTTGCGAGGATATGTCAAGTACCTTGCTGAGCGAAGATCATGCTGTTTCTTGCGCGCTCTGCGAATTGAGGCTGGGCTTGACGCAAGAAGGTAAGGAAAGCCGACGGAGTAACACTATCCGTTGTCCGTGACATAGTAGTGAAGAGTTCAGTGAGGGCTCTGGGCAAGGAAGCGACCGGTTTCGCGCTGTGTTCCGAGTGAGCTAGATTGTCAGATGAAGCCAAGGGTAGACGTACGCTTGGAGTGCTAATTGCAGTTCAGGGATGGCATTCATTGCCTGAATGGTTGCGCTCATGTAGCATGTGTTACCCAAGCTGATTCAACGTTAGAGAAAAGCATTGGGTGTCTGCTAGGCTCGTACTTCACCATGCCAGTCGGGATGTTAAGCTGCGAGGTGCATGAGTATTCCATTCATAACGATATACAAGGTCAAAAGAAGGCTCACTGCATTGGCAAGCTCTGCGTCATCCATGTCTTCCAAGAACTTGACAGGAAGCGCAGGAGGCTTAGGTAGTTCCCCAGCCGTACCGATCACCATGAATGTCGTACCCTAGGCTCAATGTTTAATGACCAGATATACAAAAGGAATATGGTCGGTACGTACGTTCTTGGGCGCAACCTTCTTCCAGTCTGTCTCGTCCTAAGTTTGTGTTCAGTGAGTTACACTGAAGAACGCTCTGCACGTCAGTACCTTGAGCATACCACCCTTGATCATGACCTTCATGCGATCGGTGGGAATGCCTGTTTTCTGGTAGATCTCCTCCTTGAAATCCGCTGGAGTCCGATCTGTGTCAAGCACCACATCGTACGTCTTTCCAGCATTCTTGATCTTCACGTTATACGGAGGCATGGCGTGGTGGTGGTGGTAAGGAATGAACTTGAACGCGCAAGCGCGCGCAGACGCGTCTGTTCCACCGACGCGCGCCACGCGCGGCGCTTGCGGTCAAAATTCCGTGACGCAAGCGCCTTGTATCTTCTCAACATCTCGACATTCGATGGGTGCCAGGTTCACGATCGAGGAGGAAAACAAGAAAGCAGGCGCATTGCATTGTGAGAGAACATCCAGTCAGTGCTACAACATCACGGTATCTAAGGGTAATAATATGCAGATCTTGTCATACGACATCGTCAACATCAGGCTATGCCTTTTCGTACTAGAGATCGTTGTGTCCACCACCTTGCACCCGACATAGCATCCCAGCTTAGACCTCCTTTTCGCTCAACTCTGCGCGATTCTTCTCATCATAAACTGGAGGATCTGGATCTTTCGGCAACGCGTCCGACTGCAGGTTACTCGCGGGTCCCTTGTAGTGTTTCCTTCCGCCGAGGAAGTACCAAATTAATGACAGGATGACGACGGAGCCCGTGATAACGGACGCGTAGTTCATCGTGTCCTTCGTGACCGGCAGGACAGTCGGGATGGAGAAGATGACGGACACGAAGATCGTCCAGAGGATGCAGTTGATGTTCACCGCCCAGCCTAGCAAGCCATCTCCAAGGTAGAACGGACCGGGCTTGAAGTTGACTTCAGGATGATGTTCGTACACTCGGCGTAGGAAGATCGGGATGATGTACGAGATGTCCAAAGCCATAGCGCACAGTGCGAAGATGGCGTTTGCGGCCACTGGCGACGCAAATTGAAGGAAACCAGGGAGGATACTGATAAAGGTTGTACCCCAAATGGCGTTGATAGGCGTCTTTGTGAATTGAGCGACCTTTCCGAAGAGGCCACGGTCAGGAAGTCCTACAAATAATCAGAAGGCGGGTATGAGGAAGGCGATCACGATACATACCATGGTCGCGGGAGAACGCGTATACCGTGCGCGAGCACGCTTGCAAGGCGGTCTGGCACACAAAGAACGCCGTGAAGCATACAAACGTCCAGAGGAAGAGCGCGCCAGCCTTTCCCATGCGCATGGTCATGATCTGTAGGAAAGCAGAGCCTGATGGGCCCGGGAGGTTCGCACTACACGATGTTCAGAACGCGTCTCAGACGAGCCCAGTGTTGCAAGTACTCACAAATCACCCGAGCAAACGACCATGGTGATATTCAGTAACCAGCCCAGAAGGCCAGTCCCAATCACAGCGATGAAGATGGCTGCGGGTGCGGCATAGGCGGCACGGCGAACCTCTTCGGAGATGTGAGCCGTCGCATCATAGTCCTGTAGAGCGTGTATGAGTGCACAGAACTCTGACTTTCGAAGATCACGGCCTACCGTCATGGTCCATTGCACGGAGAGGAGGCCGAACAAGAATGCCAGACCGTCTGGCCATCCGTTGGTCTCGTTGATCACACCTTGAGAGCCGAAGACGTAAGGACCCGAGTGCATCTCATGAAGCGGTGTTGTCGCAAGGAGCACGATGATGATGACTGTACGACGAAGGTCATGAATTTCGGATAAGAGCGATTACAGGCCTGAACGCACTGATGGTAGCCCCAAGATTGACAAACACAAAGCTAGTGGTAAGCTTTGCGAGATAGCGAGTTGCTAGACAGTTCTGGGGGGGTCTTTGAGCGACATGTTCTGTTGATGGTGGGCGAAGCGATGTACTCACAAGTAATCCGTGGAAGCAGAGCAATCCAACGAATAGACCGACGATCTTGCCGTTCGTGACCTCATAGTTGCCATCCTTTGCAATGACTACGGCCGCCCACACCATGTTCGACAGACCGAACTCGGTGGAGGATATGCCGGCAATCTGACCCAGGATGTTGAGCCATCCCACAACCCAGCCAACAATGGCACGATGCCTCTCGGGGACTAGTTTCGCAGATGCGGTGTACAGACCGCCCGACGTGGGGAATGCGGAAACGATTTCGGCAATGGAAGCGCCTGAAGGGTGCTTATCAGTACTTCTGCCAACACCGTGATTGAAGATAAGCTTGACGCGGCAGGGGAAGTGCTCAATCAATCGCAACACCGGTCACTACTTCAACCGGTATTTGAGGCAGCGGGCACAAATTCCAGGCCAGGTTTTGGTGCACACCGCAGCGCACGAGCGCTCATTTGACAAACCGGGGGAGGAACTCACCGAGGGTGAAGCACATTGTGGCACCCAAAATCCAACACCAGGTGACCTACAAGCGCCACAAGTCAATGAATGGGAATGTCTGCGCCAGAAGAAGGAACGCACTGATGCAGGTCCGCCCGTGAGCAGTGGAGTATTGAACGTCGTTGCGACCGACGAGCATAGACCCTACGGAGCGTCAGCGGCATCCCCACACCGGATAGAGCTGCCTCCGCACCATGATGCTAAACGCAAAGCTGATCTGTATATGCTCGCGTGAGCTACCTTGTCGGGATCTCGTCATGGCCCTGGGCACGAACCGTAGCAAGATTGCTGAACTCGCGCTTGAAGCTGGGCTTGTAGCCCAACGCGACGAGTTCGCGGTCATCGTCTACAAAAGTCGACGAGTCGCTTTGCGAGTCGCGTCCGTCGGCCATGGCGAAGCAGGGTGGGGGCGAGAAGCAAGGAACGGGAGGCACTGCAAGCGCTTCTTCAGTCTCCTCGTCAGGGCCAAACAAGCGCGGACAATGTACGTTATGATCGTGTGGCGAATTGGGTCCTTGAAAGGTGGCCACGGAGCAGATCTGATGGTCCCGCAGATGTGATACACGCGCGTGCGGAGGATATAACGACTGCGGTTTGCAGTGGCGATAAGGCCAGCCAGATATGCAGCGATACCAAGCTTCTACGAGAGGAGGACCGACGAGGACTCCCGTAATGCGGCGAAGGCCATTTTCCAACATTTCCGGAGGACGATCACGTCGGGAGCCGACGGTTGCTCCAAAGTAGGTTCCGGTGCCCCTATTCTCCGAGTCCACACGCAAGCAAATCAAGTTCAAGTAGAGTGACAAAGACCCACTACATGGCAGTCAGAAGACAAGGAGAACCCCGACTGCTATGCCAATAAATGCAACGAATCCTATGTCACTTTGTATACTAAAGTAACAAAAAATGCGCAAAATGCTCTCAAGTCCGTTTTAAATTGCGGAAAGATCGGGGAGATAGATATGGAGCCAGGGCAAAAGTAGGACAAAAGAAAGTAGCCCACCGCGGGGGTCGAACCCGCAGCCTTGTGATATAGAGTCGGAACTTATGCTCCTATAGGCCCTAAAAGTCACACGCTCTATCCGATTGAGCTAGGCGGGCCTTGAACACAATCATGTGCACTGCATGATATCCAGCTCAGTTCACTGCGCGTTCTTCCGAAACCCTCCCGAGTCACACAATATATTGTAGTACATCAACCGAAGCTGCAACTATCCTATGAGGTAAGAGACGAGACCTTGCCAAACGCGATGCCCTTTCAATGCACGCCTGAGAGTATTCTGGTAGGCTCAGCGACAGCCCGATAAGAAGGCAAGGTGGATGCCGTCAGAGCTTGAAGGTTCACTCATCGCCCAAGGCTGTTGACGTAGGCTAAAGAGATAGTTTACAGATAGGATTGATAGGAAGAACCGATACGGACGAAGGTTAGATAACGAGACGATAGGGTAAAGGAAGAGGTAGAAAGAGCGCCCATCTGAGAAGCTTGTGCATTTCCCGCCTGCCTTCATAGAACACCGACCAGCACACCCTGTTCTGCCCAGCCCCACTGCGTTACGGGAGACAAAGGTCGCGGCGAGCCGATGGTGTCTTTGGAGGGGACGAGCGACGCTGCTGGCGTTCTCCCAGCTCCACGGTCGAACATCCTCCCTCCGCGCGAGCGCACGCTCTCTGATAATGCCCTGATAGGCCGTATAGCTTCGCGAGGGCCCGTTTGCGTTCGTTTACGAGAAGGTACCGCACTACCGTCCGTGCTGGAGCCGCCTGGTGCCAGACGAAGAGCACGCTTGAGAAGAGAACCCTTCCGTGGCGTTATGGCAGCCGGGTTCAGCGCTGGGTCTGGATGCTCAACGACAGAAGTAGGAAAAGACAGCGGGGGAGTGTTGAGGACGCTTCGAGACGATGTATGAGGGCGTTGTAGCGGTCTCGCCGTTATGCGTTGCCGGTGTACAGTCGGAGGTGATGTCATTCCCTGGCCAGCGGCGCGCTTGCGTCCGAGGGACCCGCTAGTTCGTTGTACCGGATGAACAAGATGAGCATCATACTCGTCTGTAGAGGTCGGCTCCCCAAGCGGTCGTGACTTCATGCCGGGAGAGCGATTTGGAATCGCAAGAGGCTCGGTATACTCGTACGCCGGCAGATCTTCTTGCTCGCGCACATACCAGTCCACGCGCCCGCGTTCATCCGCAAGTGGTGGCGCGAGTAGATACTCCTCGGGTTCTGCTCCCGGTACAGGCTCTGCGCCACCAGGATAGAATGCTTGTGCATGAAGGGAGTACATGCTCTCCGGTCGTACAACGACGATAGCTGGGATATCCTCGCTATGCACGCGTATCTCCAGGACTCGTCCGCCAGCGGCTTCAAACTCAGCCGCCAACGCCTTGGCATCTTGATACGTAGGGATTGTCGGAGAAGACAGGGCGGTGACGGTGGTGAAGGCGGGGGATGGCGGATGTAGTGCGGCGCGCCCGCTTAGACTTGGTGGTCGGACCATGGACTTTAACTCGGCGGCGACGGCTATCAGCTCTTCCAAGGGGTCGCGACCGGACTGTGGAGATAATGTCCTTGACGAATGCTGAGACGCCGAGGAGACAGGCATAGATGGAGGTGAGAGCGATGCTAACGATCTCTGCGGTATCGAGCTGGCGGGCGGAGAACCCACACATACATGCGGAGATGCATGCTGGGAAGAAGGCGCTGAGTAGGAAGTGCGCTGCGCCTGAAACGAGTATTCGATCTCGCGGAGAGCTGGCAAGGGCGACCCACGGAGCGTTTCGTTTGAGTTATGCTTCGCCAATTCGTCCAGAGGGAAGGAGGGTATCGTCGGGATGGTGAATAAGGACTTGAGAGATCCGGGAAGGAGTGTGCCATCGTCGCTGAGAAGCTTCGTTAGTTGATATGATTATCGCAGTGCAAGATGAGAGCGTACGATGAATTTGTCCTTCGGGCGTGTATCTCTGTCGTTGAAGAGAGCGCGGGTGCTGAAGCACGATGCTTCGTCGACGACGGCGCACCAAACAGCATAGGCCCAAGGTCGATGGACTGCCGATCGTCTGAAGATAAGCTCACGCTCAGAGGACCCTCCGGCGGTATATCCACGATCTCAGCGTCGAATAGGCTGATTCGAGAGAACAAGGGGAGAGGATTTGGAGGCAAGCCAGCTCTCGGAGGTGGGCTAGGGAGATTGATGGCGGAGGGACCAGTGCGGGTGGGTGTGCCGTCTAGGGCTACGAGCCCTAGACCCTTCGCATCGGTGACAACGTTGATTGCTGGGCAATGATCGATAGAGATAGCGTCGTCGTCATGCTTGAGGGCGTCGATGCCGCGAAAAAAGGAGGAGGGAGAGAACTGTGGGTACGAGCCCAGCACAAGGGACTCCGGAGGTTTCGGTGACTCGACGGGAAGCGAGAATAGCGGCGGGCCTGTATAGGGTGGCGGCATCGGCGGTGGTGTATCTGGAGAGGGGGGAGCATGGCGCGAGGTAAGAAAGGATAGACGTCGAGCGAGCGTCCCGAAGCTCTTCTTCGACATCAAGCGACGTGAAGGCGTAGCATGGGGTGTTTTAGGAGTCTTGGGAGTTTTTGGCTGGTGAGGAGTATCAGGAGCACGGCGTGCCGAGTAAGGTGAGCGCGAGCCCGGCGTCGGCGGGTCGAAGTTGTATGGTGAGAGTGGGGAACTAATCTGTGGGGAGTCACCCTTCCAAGCACGTATCACTGGAGGTGACGGCTGTGAAGGTAAAACGGTGAGTTCGGGATGAGGTCGGAGGGGTATCGCGGAGAGTTCTTTCAGCATAGCTGTGGATGAGGGGATGGACTATGCGAGAGTGGATTCGTCTTCAAACCGAGGCTCGCACGACGCGTGAGGTCCATGTGCCGGTATGTATTAATGCGTTCAATATGGCTGCCATCATGTCAGCGTCACGCTGGCATTCACGACCAGACCACCCGTGCACCGGCGGCTCAGTATGAGGTAAGGTTCTTGCACCAGAATAGCCTTCATGTGCCCAATGAGTAGACTATGGAGTGTCCGACTGTTCCAAGCGCGACCATGGAATTGAGCTGGAGGTGGAATATGCCATAGTGAGAGGCAAAGAGAAAGGATCTCGCCCTGCATCATCGTGGTCGGCGAAGTTGTGTTGCTGGCTCGGAGGCCGGCTCCGGGCAGAAACGCGTGACGTCACCGCCTGTCAAACCGCATCCTGGACCTCAGCTTAACTCCGTCTACCATGGCAGCGCTACCCAAACATCACGCAAATCGCTCGCGTACACTCTTCTGTAACCCTTCCCTGTCATCCACAGGGACAAGTTCTCAATCTGGAGGCCGCTCTGGCTCACGCACGCCGTCTCTCTTTTCTGCTCGCTCACGTAGACCATCTCGAGTCCGCACTGACCCCACAAACGGAGAATCCAGTGATCCATGCGTTGACCAAGGCGACGACGACTACCAAGCGTCACAGCAGAGCGAAAACGGATGGGGCTGGAATTTCAATCTCCAACTACCCTACATCCCACTTGCTTGGGCCCGCGAGCATACTGACACCTCCAAAATACGGTCTGTGCAAGTCGTGACCCCGTCCTTTCTTCCCGACGGCGACAGGGACTCGATCAAAGCGACGTGGCTCGGTCATGCTGTGCGTAGGATCTTTCACATGATTGGTCATTCTGAGGGATTCGCTGTCGCGTTGGTGACCTCGGTCATCGTTGCGGATAGGCGCCGACGACACAATGCGCTGACAACCTGTATCAGTCTTACCTCGTGTCCTTGCCGACTGGAGGGAAACCTATCCGTGTACTATTTGACCCCATACACTCTCAACGAGCCGGGCCGACACAATTCACGGGCGTGAAACGCCGATTGCCTGCTCCATGCGCGGTGGACGATCTGCCGGAGTTCGAATTCGTCGTCATCAGCCACAACCAGTAAGGCAGTTTAGCTCTTGTTAGCAACGCGCACAAATCTGATGGTCTTTTAGTTATGACCATCTCGATCTTGGAACACATCAGCGGATACGCGCAGACCTGCGAAGGCAGAACGTTCGCTATTTGGTCCCGATAGGTCCGTATGTGCAAGCTACTGTGTCGCTCGAGGATCCTTAATAGCTATAGGTGTCAAGGCATTCTTTACGTCGGCTCCGTTGAACGTGCCCTCATCGCAGGTGTACGAAATGGACTGGTGGGAAACACTATCCCTCCCCGCGGACGCCCATGCCGATGAACCTGTTCTTCAAGGAGAACCTGATGGCCTAGCGAGGGATCGTCGGTATGCCAACTTCACTTGCACCCCTGCGCAACACAACTCTGGAAGAGGGGTGCTCGACTCGCGCACGACACTTTGGGCCAGCTGGGTCGTAGAGACTCGGATGCGGCCTGTCGAGCAAGATGACACTTCCGCCAGGCGTGTCGCTGTGTACTTTGCGGGGTTCGTGTTCTATGGATCACATCTTCAACGTATACTGACTCGTAGCCAGTGACACCGGCCTTATGACCCCAAATGGTCCATGTACCATATTCGACGGTGAGCTCCGTTCAGCTCAGCGGTATTGATAGTAAGCCTGAAGCCGCAAACCAGAAATCGGCGATCGACTGGGCCCTTTCGACTTGGCACTCTTGCCAATATGGCGAGGTGGCTCGTTATCCTTCGTCTCTCGCCTTGGTCTCCGTGTGCGTCGTATGTCGCATGGCGCGGTCTAGCTCACTGACCCTTCTCTCAAGATCGAACATGAGCATCCGTCAACAACGGCGCTCACATCTCTGCACGCTACACCCGCCCATGCCCTGCGCATGCATCTGAGTTTGCGTTCATCTCACAGTCTGGCGATGCACTTCGCGACTTTCTCCGGAAACGAGAACGAAGCGCGAGACGCCTGCGTAGAGCTATTCGAGGCTCGCGAGGCTTGGAATGCGGTATTGCGCGGCGACGTCGAGGATGAGTCGGGCGTCAACGGCGTGTTTGGAGGGGCCGACACTGGCTCTGACCATCGCAAGGCTGGAGATAAGGAGAAAGATCTGCTGAGTCCGGAGGCTGCAAACGGAATGAGTATATTGGGCGGCGACATTGTGGCCGATGTTGAGGACAAGCGCAAGGTTGGCGAGTGGTGGGAGTCCGGTGGATTCGGGTGGATTGACATTGGGTGCACTGCTATCATCCCTCTAGACGAAAGATCACCACGCGAGGTGGCTGGAAGCAAGTTACAGTACTGAACACAGAACTAGTCCGTTCACATCTTATACACAATTACACACGTAGTCTAGCACACATCAACATCATCATTAACTTAAATTGAGCAGTATCAAAGTCCGATGTATGACGGGCTGCAGCTATCAGACTAGTAGAGAGAAGGATGCCTACTCCGCAACTCAACGTCACGGTGAGAAACTGTAGGCTGGAGGCTCTGTGGAGGGAGGCGCCGCGGCATCCGTTACGCCCATTCCAGGAGCGTCTGCTGCGTCGGGGACGACAGCCACAGGAGCGATTGCCGCGGGCGGCACAGCATCATCATGCGTCATAACGAATTCGTATGAGGGGGGTTCGATCTGAAACCCAAGTGGTTGGGCGATGGCAGACGCCGGGTTGGGAAGAGCCGGAGCGACGACCGGCGCGGGGCCTGGCGGGAGTGCGGCGACCTGTTGCGCGTCGAGAGTCCCGGCGAACTGGGGAACCTCAGGCAGAGCGGGCTCGACAGGCGCAAAGCTATCGTCTACGACGTCTTTCTCGGTGTCCTCGGGGGTGATGATGCGCTGAACGAGGGCGCGCTTCAATCGATGGCTCATGGACGGTATCGTGCCCGTCGCTGACGGACCGCTTGCGGGAAGAATCTGGAGAGTGCGCAGGCGTGGCAATTGTACTGCGGCGCGATGCTCAACCTGATCGCGAGCGTAGATGTTGAAAATAGACATGTCGAGCACCAAGTGCTCCAAACTAGGCGTCCCGCGTAGAACGTCGAGTACGCGGGCTGACGTCGTACGCTGGTCCGCCAGGGTGAGAGATAATAGCGACGGCGCGAACAGTGGGAACAGTCGGCATCCTCTGAGACTGACGTGTGTGAGTAGGGGCGCCTTCAGGGGAAAGTCCATTTCAAGGTAGTCCGAGGGTGCAGCATCCACCGCACCGCCAACGTGCAACTTCGAGTCGTCGAGATCTAGTATGCGCAGCTTCGGAAGTGTCTTGCCTGCGACAAGCGAAGACCATAGATAGGAGTACGTCTTGAGTGAGAGCGCCTCAATATCACGTATGCTGGCAGATATAGCATAGATCAACACATTCTCATGCTGTTTGCTAAGGCGCTCGGGGATGCAAACAGTCAAAGGGATGTTACGAGCACGCGTTCGGAAGGTCTGTACGGCATCGTGAGAAGCCATGGAGCCATAGTCGTTGGCCCACAGGATAGGGAGGTCCAGTCCTACCCTTCGCCATAGGGTATCCACATGGGTCATTCTTATCCATCCCACATCGTGAGGATTCGGTCGGTCTATCGCGGAGAGCACTTGGTAGAGGTCCAATAGGATGTCGCTGGGTAGATCCTGGATACGCGTCCTATGTAGGTATATTGAGCGGCGTGCGAGGCGTCGCGATTGAGCTTGAGCTTGCTTACATGCAGCCACACTCGACTCTGATCGTCGGGAATAAGGTGAGAAAGCAATATCGTAAACCATATTTGGTGACGACAACGACACGATCACGTGTGTTTTACAGATTTGATTGGAGTCTACGGTGGTAAGACAGAGTATGGAGGTAGTTCTACGGGCTCTTCTCCTGGCGCCAGATGGTTCATCATCACCAATGGGAGTACTAATGCTCGCGTCAAGGGCGCCCCATCAATCCCGACCTCATCCGCCTCCTCCACCTGGACATCCTGAGGGTATACCATCCCTGCCATCAACTCTCGGCGCACAGATTCGTGGAGACATAATCTCAGTGTTTTAAGGTCTGGTAGGTATACATGGGCCTCCGAATGCCTTGTCCCACTCAGCATCGTGCCCGAGTCGATATCGAGTGATTGAAGTCGAGGACACCAGCGCACAAGATCGAGGATTCGGTGGGTTGATGTACGTATATTCGTTAGGATCATGGTGACGAGCGAAGGTGCATCGACGGAGAGAAGACGACCGCCGCGAAGGTGTAAGCTCTTGAGCTTCGGTGCGACGAGTGGTTCCTCCAGCGCGAACGACTCCTCATAGAGCGTCTCTGAAGATATCGGTATGGGGTCTTCGAGGAACAGTTGGTCGAGTTGAGGTAGGTACTTTGAGGTGAGCAGTGAAGACCAGTTGTAAGAGTGTGCAGGGATGGACAGAACGCGCACGGAGGCAAGTCTGGATGCCAGAGCGTGTATCAGGACATTCTCGTGGTCCTTCGATAAGCGCGCAGAGTGCGAAACAATCAGTGCCTCTTGACCCGCACGATCGCTCAGTGTCGCAACGGCGTCTTCCGAGGGAAAGGTACAGCATACTCGTGCCCACAAAGACGCCATGATAGGTCTCATGTCAGGGCTCAACAGTGCTGCCCGCCAACTATGGCTGATGTGCGTCAAGCGCAGCCAACCTAAGTCGTATGGCGTCGGTGGATAGGCGTCGGCAGCGATCTCGGCCATGTGGCATAAAATGTGTGGGTCGAGTTCTGCTTTCCAGACGACACTGTCAGGGAAAGTTAGCCAGTGGACGGCGCATTTCAGCCTACGCATACCCAATCATGTTGCAGGTTGGGCGGTGAGGGGGCAACGTAGGATTCATGAGAGCGTCTTATACACCATCGTAAACCCCGAAGCACTGCCTATCAGCCGCAACATTGACGCAAATATGTTGATCGTTGTGAGCGATGCCCGTCACTTCTCGAGTGCACCCTAGTGTTGAGTAGGTCGGCTTGTTGAACATATCCGACCTATTCGTGATGTTGTACATATATCAGTTTTGGCTCTTCCTGGCAAAAGCTCCGTAAGTACATCGTTATTATGCTGGTTGTCTAGAGTCTGAGGAACGACCTCCCTGCGCATCGACCTGCGCCCCAAAGCAGGCATGTGGCATTGGTCGCGACGACCCCCAACTGACGATGGTGGTCATCGTCGATGAAATCGCTTCGTGCCTCTTCTGGGGCGCCGCGGCGCCGCAGCTGCCACGCGGCCCTCGGCCCGCAGTCCGCTCACCGTCCTCGTCGGCCTTGTGTTCGACCTTCATCTCCTCGCGGCTATTCGTCCCCCTGCACTCGTATCCGAGCTCTTCGTGAAATCTTGTGCCCATATAGATCGCTCTGAAGCCCACCCTCTGTGCCTTGTTCGATCCGCAGCAGCATCGGCATCAGCTGTCATCCCGCAAGGCTCGCGATTTTCCAAATACGCGAGCGCACACCAGTCTGACTGATGGCCATAATTCTAGGAAGACATCCGTGCCATGGAGACATGATATAATCACTCGGGTTAGACCATTTGGGTCAGAGTTGGGCATATACGCGGATAGAAGGGGCGGACATTTTCTCGAGAACCCCTCCGGAGTCGAGGTCTTGCCATGTAGTCACTACAAATATCGGACGGCCTATCATCATGATGTTGGATACTCAGGACCTGAGGGAGTGGGGTGAGCTGACTGGCTGTGATCGTGGTTTGCGACAACTCCATTTGGACCGTAATGGTCTGGGAGAGCGGCGAGCACTGGACTCTTCGAATTCAGTTTGGCATGTGTCGGGGAGCGTCCCGAGCTGATGGACCGACACGGTAGAAGCAGAGTGCCCGCGCACCGTGGAAGGCTGTGAAGTCAACGGTGCGGGAGACTCGTCTCGTTGCGTGCTTTCTCTGCTACATACCAAGTGCCACCCAGCGGCGGATACTTGTCCTTTGCTCTTAATCATTTTGGTCATCCGCTGATTCTGCTCAGCTTTTGTAGCAATCAGGTTCGAGCATATCGAAGCGTAGGCGAGCGCGCGTGAGAGCGGAGTTGGCGAAGATCCGGATTACCAGACTCAACACGAGACTGGAATTCGGCTCATCTGGGTGTCGCGGGTTTAGGCACATGTTGGAGGATCTGTAAGTCTTACCTAGTCTGATTAGCATCGTCGCCGAAGCAGTTGATTGATGTAGATTGAGTATAGCGCCCACTATCCTCTCGTATGCTGAAGATCGCGTCGTGGGAGATGGAACCCCCGAAGCCGTCCCGACGTGGTCTATACAAGACAATTCACGCATCAAGCTCTACAGCGCATTACGGCTTTCCCAGCGTGACTGCGAACCGGGTGGCGTACACGGCGCATCTTGTGCCTGCGACACTAGGGCGACTGGCGGGACGTCGATATCGGGCACCTTAAATCAAGAATGATACGAGCAGCTCGCGTTGGTGTCTTGGAACACGACACCATGGGTCTGTCGGATATGATTCGAGCATTGGCGCGCCCTCTTTATACCCTTCTTCTGTTCACCAAATCGGACATCAAGACTACGGTGATCCCTGTCGTGGGTTCCGTTCTTTAGTTCTCAGGCGGACGGGTGCGCTGACCTGACAGGAAGACCTCGCTGGCAGCCGCTGGTGCACCGCTTGCCGCTCCCGGCCGGATTATACACGTCATCTTCTGGATTTGGTTGCACGTACTGCAATTTGATGTATCAAACCAAACAATGGACCCCGAAGAAGACGCTCAGAACAAGCGGGACCGGCCTCTACCTGCCGGACGAATAACCTTAGCCAATGCCCTGCTACTTCGTTGGCTTCTCGTGCCAATCTGCTTCTCCATCTCGGTGTTGTATAGCACGCAGACCTTCCACGCGAGTGTCGCGCTTGTCGCACTCACAATCATCTACAACGAGCTGGCTGCACACAGAATGCACTGGGCTATCCGCAACGCCGTCAACGCCCTTGGCTTCGCATCTTTCGAAGTTGGAGCGACGTTGGTTGCAGGTGCGAGTTTCATCGGCCGTTGCTGGACGCGGTCAACCTACGCTGACTTTCTTTCATCCTAGGCACTGACCCTACCCGCCTTGATTCGGTCGGTATGCACTCTGTCTTGATCAGCGCCGGTATCTTCGCAAGTACCATCCATGCGCAAGACTTCAAGGATACCGAAGGAGATCGTGCTATCGGCCGTCAGACTATCCCCATTATGCTTCCTGCTTACGCTCGCCTTACTGTCATTATTCCGCTCTTTCTATGGTCTTCCGGCCTCTCGGTCTTCTGGCAACTTAATCCGATGCTCGGTCTTCTCTTCATCGCGCTCTGCGGATGGGTGGGATTTCTATATCTCAGGGCGCCAGATATTCCACACTACCAAGTAGCGTTCTATTGGTACAATGTGCGTGACATACGATGCATGACTACGATTTCCTTGCTCAACTTGCATAGGTTTGGCTGTCTGCAGCTCATGCGCTCCCGGCATACTATCGAACATTTGTTCTCGATAGCGCAGCATTGTGTGAGCGTTCAATCACCTGTTCACTTCCTAGCGCTAAACTGAAGTGTGTGAATACTAGAGCTGCGAGATCATCAGTAACAGTAGTAGCCTCCATACCCCTCGTCTCCGCGCCCATACTTACCTTCAATGGTCATAATTCAAGGGAAACTCGTTAGTAACGCTCCGCTCCTGTGATACGCAGTCCAGTATGTAGCGAGCTCCGGATGAATGTCGCCGATGACCACGGCGCTTTGTGAAGCTGAAGTCGGTCTCTGTCCCCTTCCGTCGTTTTCCGACTTCGCCGCTTCTGGAGCCACCACCATCTACATCAAGGGTAGATCAACGGCCTACCACGCCTTCTTCGTCTGATGCCTGATACTGCATCCACTCGTGTGTATTGGAATGCCGTATCCGGCAGTGGTTCCTTTCTTGCGTGAATTTAGTGAGATAATGGCCTATTTCTCGTCCCAGTTCGTGTAATCATGTTCTCCTCCTTTGCCTCCGCACCCTCGCGTCGAGACTCTTCCTCACAGTCTCAAGTCGCGTTTCACGATGGGCCTTATGGTGTTCTGTGCAACTGTTGCAATAGCGGGTGGGCTTTATGCCGCCTTCCGCCTTGGCTTCAGTATCCGGGGAAATCAATACCCGCCCGGCCCCTTGGGGCTTCCTTTCGTGGGGAATCTTCTCGACATGCCCCGCCACCGCGAGAGGGAGACCTTCTCGCGATGGGCATCACAATTTGGTCAGTGGGTCATCGTTGTTGGATAACCCAGATTCGCAGCCAACCATGACTACGGTCTACAGGCGAGATTGTCCATGTCAATATATTGGGAAAACATATGATCCTCCTCAACTCCGCTCGAGCAGTCAATGATCTGCTGGAGAAACGGGCTTCAAAGTATTCGGATAGACCGCACTTTCCCCTGATAGACCTGTGAGTACCCAGCGCCACGTTTCCTCTGGCTAATGCTCACCGTGCTTATTAGTGCGGGTCAGAAGTTCAACTTCGGGTTCATGCCTGCTAACAAAGCTTGGTCATCGCGGCGTCGCACCTTCGCCGCTCAATTTGGCCGGTCTGTGCCGCAGATATACCCTTCACACTCGGCCGCCGTTATGAAACTGCTACGCAACCTGCAAGCAAAACCGGAGGCATTCATGGATCACATCCAATTGTGAGTATGTATAAGGACGAGGTCACGATTCAGTGCACTAAAAGCCGATGACAGCCTTGCCGCTCAGCTTATTTTGGACGTGACGTATGGCATCACTGTTGATACATACGATCATGTTCTGGTGCGTAACGCGGAGACGCTCATGGGAAACGTGGCTATTGCTGTCAGACCAGAGATGTGGATCGTTAACCCACTCATCCTTTGTAAGTGTGATGATCACTTCGCATTCAGCTGCCACGACACCACTATATAGATCGCCTATTGCCGAGCTGGCTTGGCGGAGATTATCTGTCGATGCGTATGCAGAAATGGAAAGCAGAGGCTCGTGCATTTCGCGAACAACCCTTTCGTCTTGCTTCCGAGAGAAGTGTACGTCAACTCATTCTCCATCAGCGTGAGATGATCTTATGTGCGCACAGGACGGGGCACACTGTTTTGTGAACCAGCTACTGGATACACGTCCATCTGCAGATTCTGTTGAGACGCATGAGCAATTCAGTATGGACTGCGCTGCTGTGGCTTATGGAGGTAAGTGAGAAAGCAGAACGCGCCTTGACTTCGCGGCTGACTCATGACAGGTGGCACTGACACGGTATATGCCGTTTGCAGATGTTCTCTCGTTTCGTCCTCATGTATCGCTAGGTTGTGGTAGCGGCAAGATCATTCTTTCTGGCTATGGCTCTTAATCCAGAAGCTCAGCGGAAGGGGCAAGCGGAGATTGATCGCTTTGTGGGGTCTGGGCGCCTACCCGACTTCAACGATCGAGAGGATCTACCATTCATCTCGGCCATAGTCCGAGAGACTTTACGATGGAACCCACCGGCACCTCAAGGTACGTTTCGCACCTACTTTCCGCCCTAGATGAGACACAGATGTTAATCGATACCATAGGGATACCTCATTTGCTCACTGAAGATGACGTGTACAAGGGATATCACCTCCCAAAAGACTCGATAGTAGTGGGCAATATTTGGTCAGTTTAGCTACAGTACTGACGCAGGATGCCCGTACTTACATGGTGACAATAGGCATATCACACATGACCCTACTATCTATACAGATCCAGATGAGTTCGAGCCTAACCGTCATTTGCAAGACGGAGATCTGAAAGGAGAAGACTCTGCGCGCCTTTCTTTCGGGTTTGGTCGGCGCACCTGTCCGGGTAAAGCATTTGCAGAAGATCTGCTTTGGCTGCTGGTAGCGCAAGTGCTATCTATCTACGACATCACGCAGGTGAAGGAAGGGCCCCCCCTTCGGGCATCATTCACGTCTGGTACTTTCTCGTGAGTAGAGGCATCATGGATCATGGTGCAGAAGGGTGGAATTCAAAGAGCTGACGAGTCTCGCAGACACCCCCTTCCGTTCCATTGTCACATCAAACCTCGCTCAAGGGATGCCGCGTTCCTGATATCATCATAGTCTACTTTCTGTCATTGTATATCACTGGCGTCCGATCGTCCCTGTATACCCCAGCTGGCGATGTTGTATCGCTCACTATATCAGCTGTAAAGAGGTCCTGGCGCCAAGTAGCGCTTCATCTTCGCGGCCTAGATATATATCGTGATGGGGAGAATGGAGTGGACCCGGGCTCCATCGCTATGCTGCGAGGTCGTGGTGGTCAAGGTCGAGTGGCGAATATATATGCGAGCACGGTGGAGCGCGCGCAGCCGGGCCGAATCTACAGTCAGACAACAGCCCTGCGCCTTCACTGCAGCTCAATGGACTTCGAGCCTACAACGATTCGTGCAGGAGAATCCTAGTGGGAGTGCGCACAGGAGTATCGCGGGGCGTGAGCCGAGATGTTTCATGGGAAATTTCGGGTACAGGGCCCACTCCGTCGCATTTGCGGGTGGGATCCGCGTGTGATACATACTGGGCATGTTCCGGGCGTAGTATAGGTTCGGATTCGTCAGAGTGAGCTTGGGTATCGCTGAAGATTGGCGAGCTGCAACATGATAGTGGTACGTGGGCAAGTGGCGACGCGCCAACGTGACCGCGCGACGCGGTTCGTTTACGCGTCGCACGCGTCCTACCTTCAACAGCCACCTCCACCACCCACTCGTCTGCCATCTATCCTCATCCACTATGTCAATTGTTACCATAAGGTAAGCTTCTCTTTGCGCCTATGTCATTATGTCAACTCACAGTGAACTTATCGCAGGAACGTGGAGTTCCTAAACAATCCCGCCGATTTCCTCTCGCCTTACCACTTCAAAGTCACCTTCGAGTGTATAGCACCGCTGAAAGACGACCTCGAATGGCGCTTGATATATGTCTCCTCTCCTGGCCGCGAAGATCTTGACCAAGAATTGGACGACTGTCTCGTCGGTCCGGTTCCGGTCGGTGTCAACGCGTTCGAGTTCGAAGGTTCTCCCCCGGACCCTGCCAAAATACCCGTAGAGGACGTGCTGGGCGTGGCGGCATTGATCTTGACGGGGAGCTACAGGGAACAGGAGTTTGTGAGAGTGGGATATTATCAGAATACGGAGTATAAGGATGAGCTGGATCGCGAGAATCCGCCACAGCAGGTCGCGTTCGATAGGCTTGTGAGGGATATCAGTGCGAAGCCACGTGTCACGCGCTTCCAAATAAAGTGGTCAGTTACGGTCGCTCTTTTGGTGGCATGGATGTAGCTGATGTATATCTGTAGGGACGTCGCAGCACCACAGGCAGGACAAACCGCGGCAGGCGCGGCTACATCTGCGGCCGTGCCCTCTGCTGATGACCTGGACGATGGTTCGGGCGACACTACTATGGCGGACGCGACGACAGTCGGTGCTGCAGTACCGTAGCGCGCGTCCAACTACCCTCTGCCCTGGCCAAAACCCATCGCAAACCCTCAGCGCGCCGCCAAATTGATCCGCTGCGTCCTCGATAGGCGCGCACGGTCTGACGCTTCCAATGTACCCCGTCGATATACCTCATAATCTGACTCAACACGACCCTTTCGCTCAAAGTTTGCACACTCGGTTATGGATGTTGGTCCTTTTCACTGTTGCCCCTCGCTAGTCCCGCTGTACTCGTGCCATCCGTGTGCAAGGAATGAACATTGCTCATGATCTGCAACCGATAGCTTGACCGTGGTATACTACCGCGTCAAAGGCACCCAAGCCTCGTCCCGCCGATTCAGCATGGCAGAAGCGGTATTTACTGGAGTTGTAATCCTGAAGACAGGTTCTGGGGACCCAGTACTTCCTAGCACACAAACACAAGCAGACGGTCAAACCAACTCTATCCTCAAGAAAGATGCCTTCAACCGCGACTCGACTCCGAGTACGACGACGGAATGACCAATGATTGACGAGCCGGGTCAGATCGAGGTGGTCTTAGGCCGGGCGTGTATGCCTGAGGAGCACTCCCGCCTCTGCTACTCACGGGATGACTTGGCACGGCCCGAGCAACGTCAGGAGGATGAGTGGCGTCGAATTATGGCGAGATTTCGGACGAGGGGATGACGGGCGGTCGAGTTCCGTGGGGGTAGGGTGTCTGCGCACGAGGGATGCGTTCGCCTGTGCGGCTGGGTTCGGGGCTTGGGATGACGACGGCAGGTCGCGAGGTGCCAGTTCTGACTGTAGTGCTGGCGACTGGCACCGAGACTCCTTGTAAGCCACCCGCTGTGCATAACAGTCAGCTTCAGTGGAGGATGCGCCATTGAGCTGCTCAGGCGTACGAGGTACTGCGCGCCGCAAGTCCTCGATCGAGTCTAGTATCCTTCTCACGTCCCGTTTCCGCTCATGTCTATCGCGACCGAACCAGTGGTTCAGATCCTGAGTGTAGCGTACGAGGTCTTGTTGTTGGTCTATAGATGCGCGAAGCATTGCGTTCGCGTCCTGACGAGGGAGACAGTTCGATGAGCACCACGCAACTTCATACCAGAATGGAAACTTACTCTAATGTCTAGTAACATCTCGTTGAAGATAGGCGGCATTTGGAAGACCTGCGGAGGCCCTGGTGGCTTGTGACCCGAGTCAGTACTCTTTCTAGCGCACCAAAGCCGGACTGTGGTACTGGGGCGGTAGGAGGCGCGCTATAGTAGGGCACACTCGGTGCGCCGGGGGCACCATGAGTGCCTGGAGGGCCACTCGGGCCAGGTACGGAGGAGCTACCAGGAATGTTGGATTGCATGAGTAGGCGTACTAGTACAGGATGGTCGATACGGTACCAATGAGAGTCCTGTACTTGGTTTGAGGGACGGCTGCCTCATGGCTGTAGGGCTTGGGTTAGATAAGATTAGATTCTGATATCGGGTCAGGAGCTCGGGCCGGTGAACCGATCGAGAGGTGCTGACGCTTCGATGATGCGGTGGACTCGAGTTCGCTCTTGACCATCATGACTTTTCAGTCCATGTTCATGCCATTGTTGATATACAGCACTGGCTCGCAGGAAAGCTCGTAGCAACGCACGTCAGTAGGCATGGGGCTCAGCATATTCTTGGGTAAGACAGTCCCTGTACAAGCCTGGCATGACCGGCGTTTTCTAGATGGCAATTGTGTACCTCACTGCCGTCTATTGAAGCAGCGTGTGGATCAATACCTACCCTTCAGGACTACCCTTTCCTGCCCGTATGATTACTCTATGGAGAGACGACTGGAACATACTTCAGTTCGCGTCTGTTTCCCCGGCCATCATCCGGTCGAGTTTGGGATGCCTGCAGCAGCCTGAGGGTTCCGCGAGGTTCCGCATTGTACCTACGCGATGAGTGCGTATGTGACCCTCGCTTGGATGTCTCCGACATGGCGGGTGTACTTCCGATGCGTTCGGGCTCCTTCGTTGAGCCTTTGCCCCACCTGGTCTGCTAACGCGGTATCGTGATCACCTCGCCTCTCGGCGGGGCGATGGTAGAAGATACGACTATTCACTACGATGCGCAATACCCTCTCTTTGTCTTTGGCTCTTACAGGTACTTAAGGCAGAACGTCATACACGCGCGCAAGTTCGAGGAGTTCATACCATATCAAACGGTGCGCCGAAGCCACACGCGGTCATGCGTTGTATGTCATTCAAGCACCTCTCCGATCAGATATTACACCGACGATTTCATTTAGACCTTCCGCTATTTCCGTATGTCAGCGCGACATCCGCGGCCCGCTCTCGTACAAGCCTGAACTTACTCATAAAGCCGTGCGCCTATGCGGCATAGTCCCTGCTTCTCAGCCGTTCCGCCGGCAATAATGTGTATGTCTGACGCGGCCTTGCTTCCACCACGTTCTGGACATAGCACGCTTAGGAATGGACCTAGTGCGTAAGAAGGCGTCTGTCACTTTTAGCCCTTCTGGGAGCCGGAGTTAACGCTTCGACAGAACTTCGACGAACGCTTTCTGGCGCTGAACGTCGTTCGAAGTCTGGCTTGGAGCTTGCTTGGAAGCGGAATTGCTGCGGACATTGCCAGTTAGAGTACCGTACAAGTAGACAATACGGTCATAAGAGATGAATGAGTCACCCTCAGCCAATCGTACTGGAGACTAACCATGCGCTTCCCTCGTATCCGACCGCGGGAATCTGACGCCCATCTGCGCCTACACGCGACGCCACCCCCAGCGCGGTCACATGGAGCGTCGCTTCTCGAACACTCGCCTTGTACTCGTCCATGTCAGCCCTTCTCCCCCCAGCCCTCCCTTGACGACGCCTGTACGAATATTATGTCGGTCTCCGTGGGGGAGCTGCACAACTCTAACTCTAACGACGGGGAGGATGTGGACATTGGCGACGCGGAGATCAGCATCGCGCCGGACGGCTCGTTCGTCGAGACGCCGTCTGGTAACGCCGCGCGAGAGCTCAAGAGGCGATACGACCGTCTCGTCGGTGTGGGCTCTACGACGGCTGGCTCTGAACTCATCATCTCGCCTTTCCAAATCACGAGTCTCATAAACCAGCATGGACGTCAGGTGTACAGAGTTGGGTGCGCACTGATATATATGTGATAGTGAAATATATATATTGAAACATTACATGCAGGAGGAGAGAGATGAAGCCTCCTGCAGAAGAGGCAGAACATGTACAAGCCGCCACCATCGCTCGCGCGTCTGGATTCAGCATCTCAGACGCCCAGCCGCGCCGGTCGCGTCTGAGCATGTCCAACTTTCTCGCACCAGAGTCATCCCGACAAAGCCAACAACTTGCCCAACCTCAACCTCTGGCGCCGCAACCGTCCACGGCGACTCTCCGGCCCTCCGGCCCGCCCAAGAAGCTCCGCAAGGCGCGCTCGAATCCTGCTTTAGCGCCTACGCCGCCTCCTACGACAGCGCCAACGCAAAGAGGCCATTCACAAAGTGTCACGGCCGTTGATCTCCCGAGTGGGTCGCGGTGGGGCGTGCCACCGCCCGTACCTGTGCCACCTATACCAGTTCAGGCGCCCGTGGTGTATCCACCTACGGATTTATTTGCGGAGACTATGCGTTTTCCTCGAAATGGCGCAGAGAAGGGAGAAGGGAGAAGCAGGAGCTCTAGCGTCAGTCGCGTGCAGGCGAATACGACAGCTGTCATTGCGAACCCGTTCGGCGCTAGAGTAAAGTTCGAATCGCCGAGGAAGCCGAGGGAACCCAGTCGACTGGCCAGGGATAGGCATTCGACTGACAGCAGCGGGTCATCGGGATCAGAGTCTCAGGAAGGCAGCGCAGAAGAGGGCGGCACGATTGATTATCTCGGCGTGGATATTTCTCGACAGTTGCGCGAGGTTCAGAGCTTCGAGAGCGGGCTTACGGCTCGGGCTGCGTCGCCTACTTTGACGGCGGCGGATACTGCTGCGCTAGGCGCGTCGACTTCCAAACGAGATTCCAGCGATCAAGGGCATGCGAAGGAGCAAACCCAGGTTCGGCCGGCGCCGTTGTTGTATACCCAATATGCACCGGAGGTGTTCGACGTATTGCAACATTACTCCGGGCTGCCGATGCTCGACAGACTAGATCTCGACGATGGTATGTCCTTTTCTACGTTTTCAATTCGAGGGTATGACTGACAGGTATTGTTCAGACGATGGTCCTGTTATACGCATGTCTGCAGCGTCCGATGAGCGCACGACACCACGCGATGACCCTCGCTTCGTTGTCTGGGGTGAACTCCTGCCATCTCCCACACCCGCTCGCGCAGCCTCCAACTCGGTTTCATCCAACTCTTCTCACCGCAAGCGTCGCTCTGGTCGGCCGTCGGGAGCCTCAACATCTTCTGCAACCTCCTCCAGGTCCTCGCCTGCGAACGAGATGGGAGTTAGTAGTCACGGAGACGGTGACATCAATGGCGCAGAGATCACCAATGGCGAAGGAGGGGAACAAGAAAAGGTCCTCCTCGCTGCTACGATTGAGAGGTGGCTAGCCCAACTCACCAGCGCACTTGATTACGACGAGTTGCTTGTCTTCTTCATGACGTACCGCACCTTCATCGCCCCATTGGACTGCGTCCAACTGCTCATTGCGCGGTTCTGGTGGGGCATTGGTAGATCACTCGATCCACCTTCACTGAGTGAGTAGCTCACATTCCTTTTATGGCATATCACCAACGGTTTTGAATAGATGGCGAAGACGAGCAGGAAGAAGAGGACCCAGACGCTCGCGCTCGCCGCATTGTTCGCGTTCGAACGTTCGTCGCCGTGCGATACTGGCTCCTAACCTTCTTCGACGTCGACTTCTTGCCCAACCGCGATCTGCGTCTACTCCTCGCAGGCTGGCTCAACGCACTACGAAGAGAGCTTGAACGCGTAGAAGCTGAAGACGCCGCACTTCGTAAGGCATCGGGGGAGGGTGGCGTGGGCGTGGGAGGAAAGAAGAAGAGCGCAAAGGAGAAGGAGAGAGGAGAGGCATTGGGGATCGTCAGGAAGCTGATCGCCGTTGTGAGGGAGGTCAAAGAGATACATGCGAAACGCTTGGGTCCGCCGGGCACTGTGCTGTCGTCTACGGCCCAGTCCTCCGCGTCGGCGTCTGCATCAACGCTCTCGTCTGCTTCCTCGGCACCCTACAGCACACCGGGGTCAAGTACGAATCTCACGCCCGGTTCTTCGTCTTCAGCTAGCACCTCGAGCTCAAGCAACAATAGCCCCACGACGCGCCGTCATCCTCTCGTCGAGCTCTTCGGGAAGTCATTCGAGGGCGTGGGAAACGCAGATACAAATGCGAATACGGATGACCTTGATCTGGACTTCGAATTCGACTATCTTCCGCCAGACCTTATCCCTTCGACCTTCGCCTCATCCGCTTCCCCGTTCAATCCTCTAGCCGGCCACCCCTCCTCCGTATCCAATGCCCTCACACAGCAGAACAGCAACTCGCAACTACACCCAAACTCGGCGAGCTCATTACATCCTCACCCGCTAGGAGGCATGGGTATGAACGGAGGCGGGACGGTCGGGAGCGCGGCTGGTGTAGGCGTGGCCGCACATACGCTCACACTGGCTGGTGGCGGCGTTCAGAGGGCCATCATGGAACATCGGCCCGCCCGCGCCGCTCCGCGCGATGTGCCACCTTTGCCTCTCCCACTCCATCAGAACATCCTGGGACGAGCATTCGTGAATACCATCGGCCGTCTTGGAAGGTGGAAGCGCATGAGCCAACGTCCTGCGCTCGGTCTCGCTACGAACGGTGCTGGTGTGGGCATAGCTGGGATGAATGGTGGAGGTGTGGGTGACGGAGCGATGGGAAGACCCAGCGCGTTTGATGTTGAGCTGAGCGTTGCGGATGATCTGTTGAGCGTGCGGGGCGGTGTGGAGAGGTATCTGAGGTTGATCGAGAGCGAGGCGGCGCAGCAAGGGATGAGCGTCGGGCAGATGTACCCGCGGCCACCCGTGCCACCGCCTGCGGAGATGATCCCACCTGATTCGCCTATTCCGCCCGCGGTCGAGGGCGCTATGGTGGATCGTTTAGGAGTCGGACTGGAGAAGGCGGGCAGAGAAAGACCGCCGACTATCGCGGTAGAGGTGCCAAGTAGCAGTCTGGATCTGGGAGATGTTGGGAGGGAGGAAGTCGATGTCATCGAGGACACGCCCGATACGGCTTCATCTCTTGCGAGTACGCGATCACCGTCCCCACACTCTCCGTCACCATCTCCCGACCCAACACCTCGCGCCTTCGCCCATACAACACCTCGCCAAGCAAGCCAATCTCGTGCATCAAGTCGGGCCTCATCTCGCTCCTCCGGTTCAAGCGACGCAGACTACGGTGCAGACTTCACCAGCCGTTTCCCTCACGCCAGCATGGGCGTCATCCCGACCTTCAACTCACGGACAAGTAACGACGACTTCGCTGCCTTTGCCACGAGGAGTTCCACGTCTAGTCGGGCGAACCCGTGGGGCGTAGATGTGGTCAGCATCGATGATCTCGATCTCAGCGATTCTGACGATGAGGGCTTTGGCGGTGGAGATACCGTCAGAAGAAAGCTGCCTACGAGGAGAGAGATCAGGCATAGGACTGCCAGTAGTATCGCCTCCACGACGTCCAGACAGAGCGGACGCAGCTCGCAAGGACTTGGACCGTTGCAACAGTGGCAGGTCGATGCGCTCGTCAATTCGCTTGGAGATGATGCAGACGATGGTGGTGTTGAACATGCGTTGAGGAAGTTGGAGGGTCAGTTGATGGAGCCGGAGAAGATGGCGGAGAAGGGGAGGAAAGTGGACGATTGGGTCAAGACCATCCGCGAGAGGTTGGAGGCGGGTGACTATGGTGCGCCTAGTGGAAGAAGACCGGGGACGGGCGGGAGAGGGAGTGCGGCGTGGAGCGTTGATCTTGGTGCGCCGGCCGGGGACGGGGAAGAGGATAGTCATCCGCCGACAAGGCCGACTAGTGTGGCGAGTGTCAGGCGTGTGGATGAAAAGGCTCGCACGCCGGAGGTCGATCCTGCTGTACCAGATGAGATCTTGAAGTCAAGACTGTCGACATCGCCTTTGAGCCCGCAGTCATCCATCAATTCGGGTAGCTCCTCGATGTACATCCCTCCATCGGCGCCATTGCTCCCCCCATCAAAGAATGGCCCGCCTCACCGCTCGTGGATCTTGGACCATACATCTTCATCACTGGCGGAGCACTTCGCCATGATTGACCGAGAGCTCCTCCTGGCAGTACGCTTCGACGAGCTACTGGGCGATGAATGGGCACAGGCGGATAACACCGGTCCTGTTCTAGACTGGGCCACATTCCTGAAGGAGAGGGCAAGGTGGCGTGCCGAGAGGAGGGGCGCTGCGAAGACAGGAGGGCTTGTAACTCTGCGAGCGAGGTTCAACCTCGTCGCAAGATTTGTGCTCAGTGAGATCGTGGCTACACCTCCTGCCTCTAGGCCCAGCGTCGCGGCCAAGTTCATCCGCATTGCTTGGGTATGGTCATTTTTATCTGACCCATCGTCTCTTGCTGATCGGTATCCGTAACAGAAATGCTACACGATGAACAATCACAGTACTCTTGTCGCCATCATTACCGGTCTACGCTCTGAATGGGCCAACCGTGCCATGCGGAAACATTGGCGGCGGGTCAATGTGTACAACCTACGCATGCTCAACGACCTCTCATCCTTCGTGGGTGCCGAGGATGAGTTCGTACATCTGCGTGGCGCCGTACGTGCACTCGAAGAGCCAGCCGCGCCGACAGAAGACGGCGCGCTTCCGGCTTGCGTGCCTTTCATTGGGATGTACCTTGCTCAGTTAGCTCGCCACGCTCAACTACCGGACCTCATTGATCCCACTGCACCTACTCAGACCGTGGGCATCGACCGCCGCACGAACGAATGCCTCGCACCCGCACACCCAGAGGTGTTCGCTGCTCTACAGCCGCTTCCACCAAGCATGCAACTCGAGCCGCTCGTGAACGTACACAAACAACGGCTCGTCGCTGGTGCTGTACGCGAACTTACGGCAGGGCAGAACCTCGCCGCGCGCTTGAATGTTCCTGTCGACAGGAAACTATTCGGGAGAGCGGTCAAGCTGAGGGCATTGGATGACGAGACGCTTACTCGGGTGTGCAAGGCATATTCCGAATGAGCTGACGATTTCTTGATGACATTGATGCGATCACGGCTGGCTCCTTTCTTCCTCGTCGTCTCAACGTATACATTGACGCCCTTTGACGCCTTGATATCCGCCACGCAGATCGTGACATGAAACCAAAGTGTACATTACTCTACCGATTACCCCCTTTTTGTACTGTTGTGTTCTTCCCCTTGTTCTCTCCATTCCTCCTTGTCCTTCCTCTTCTTCGCATGCTCTTGCTTCTCGGTGTTGTGGCGATTTGGGATTATTTTGATGCTGCCAGCCTCGCGGGCACTGGTTTACATAGACATTTCCAGTTCTGTAGAGCGCAACGCGCACTGCGATCGTAGCATGTGGGAGCCACTGGTGCGAACCCCCGACAAGATCCAGAATATTCTCGAAGTCTGTCTCCATTCCCGCTTGTGGCTTCTACTCCTCAACCAGCGCTATTTGGCGGGGCGATAAGATGCAAAGCAGGGGGAGACGAATCCGTATTGAGTAAAGCGACTTGTCCTCATTGAAAAGTTACGGCAGTTGCCGCGTCACACGTTCCCAGAAGCTGGCGCCCATTCGGCAGCCGCTTCATCCCGCGCCATCATGCGTGCCAGGCGTCTTTCGCCGATTGAAAGTCACGGTTGGTTTCCTCAAGCAGGAGAATAACCGGAAGCGTTTCCTGGTAGCGAGGAGAGTTGGGCTGTGGGGCAAATGCGTCTCGGCAACCACGGGGCAAGAACATGCCGCTCTTTCGTGTCGACACAGCGTCCGATGTCGACCGCCGGAACATACCGCCGCCCTGGTCATGGCCAGCCGCGACTCTGTTGAGCCTGCGATTCGGGGGACTTGTTGCTTACACGCTGCCCGTGCTCACACTACGCACCACTTGCCTCTTCTCCGCCACCATCTCTCGCTCCCGCGATTTTACCTCCCTCCCCATGGCTTCACTTGATTTGCAGGGCGCAAGCGACTTGGGTTCTCGCCTTAGCTTTATGAATACGTGTCACGATGCGTCTGTGGAGCTTCTCGAGATTATACATGACTCCTCCGACGTGAGTTTCGAACGGCAGGCGAGAAAGGTAGTTTTCCCTACAACCCCCTTCAGATATCGAAGGGTCCTGATTTTATCTTGCGCAATCATTAGATTATCACACTCATCGAGGTACGCGTCAACTGATTTTTAGCGAGCTCTCTACATGGCTCGAATTATTATGGGCGGTCTTCGGCTGACGACGAGCCTGTGAACCGCAGATAGCCCGCAGCACCCTGACCCGCGGAGGACTAAAGCTCCACAGCTTTGCGAGCTGCCCGCCGGCGCTTACTTTTCACAAGCAGGCGTACTTCATGCTGCTTGAGGCGCTAAGAGACAGGCGGCACCTCATCGATGATAACACGCTCAAAGGTTCTTTTTCGCTTTCCCTCCATTTCATTTATGAGCTGTGCCACTCATGGACTATCTCCGCAGAGCGAGCTGCAAGATTGTTGCTCCCTCTTTCGAGCGGACTCGTGATCCGGAGAAGGTCGATGTCTGTTACGAGCGATGGGCGGACACCGCCGCCTGACGAGATCGGCTCAGACGCTGAATCGCAGACTTTACGCCGCACAGCCGCTCCTGCAAGGCGCCTACCGCCTGCGCCACCACTAGCAATGCCGCGTAAGACCTGTATACCTCGTATATTTGCCAGCATGACTGACAAAAATCAGCGCCAGCCGCCTTGCCCTCGAAAGATGCCTCTTCACCGGCCTCCTATGAGCCACCGGCTGGGGGCGAACCACCGCTGTGGCGTGTCGAAAGACTGGCCAGAACACGCTCGAGGCCGTCGCAAAAGCATCTACCTCCCGCGGAAGGTGTTCCGGGCGACGACACGCCACCAGTGATTTATACCGTCCAAAGGGTACGGCCTCATAGATACGGGATCTTCTGCTCGGCTGGGTCTGCGAACCCCAGCATTGCAGACAGGCAGCACAACCGCCTTTCACGGAATCTCCGGGCATAAGGGTCACGGACGGTGTTGGGTGTTCCGCTCAGCAAGGGTATCATCACGTCGGCCATGCTCCCGAATAAGTGATCTAGTAAAACTCAGTCACCACTGTACGAGTCGACGCTACGTATCGGAAGGCTCTTACGGTACGTCTTGCGCATCTCGACGTACTGGGTCGCAGGATCGTTCTCCGTCGTTTCCGCACGCATCTGCGCTGTAGTCGGCGTTTCATGGTCTGTGTTTGACCTCCGGTCGATATCCGGCGGTTTCTATGTTGCTTTCAGTGCCATTGTACATAGCATCTGCTTGTCGTGGGGTTCCTGCAATTGTATCCTATGCAATTTGTGTAAGATGGGAATGCTGCATAGTGTACATGCGTGAGAAGAGGGCTGATACGCCACGAAGGTTTTTTGCGGTTGCATCCTGACTCACAAGGTTTCGGTTGTGGGTCTGTCGACACGACCTACGACGCGCAGTCTCTTCAGCACAACCAGCTACTTTGGGGAGGACCGAAGGGCGTAAGAAAGCACGTACAAGGAACGCGCGTCCTAAAGAATCCGAAGAAGCACACCACGAGGCAGCAGCAAGCCCAACAGAACGTCAAAGAACGCCGTTGTGGACTTTTCTAGAGCCAGGCGATCTTTGGAACAACAAAGTCAATGGGAGGCCGTAGGAGCCACACTCTCAATCGTATATTCATGGTGGCGCGAGGCTTCTAATTATGTATTCACGATACCCCCACGGTAGATATTTGAGCGGCAGATGACTCCTACACCCGAACTGCCCAGTGGTACATCTTCACGATCTTCGCTCCGTTCAGATACGCGCAGAGCTTCCAATGTGTGACTTCAAGAGCGACGCAACTTGCGGGTCGAGCGCTGAAGCGACGTGCATGTCTGCATTCACGCGTGCACATGGACCGTGTCAGCGGTGAGAATGCTATTCCGGGATCATGAGGTATGCGCGCCACCAGACCCGCGGGGCTCTGTGGGTGCGAATATTCCGAGAACAGACATAAAAGATCGAGGTACCGCGAATCAGGGCAGGTCAACCCTATGTTACACCCATCATGTTGTTACAGCTCCTGAGAATTCCACTCATCGCTGTGGTATGGTTGTCGTATCGCATCTCGACGACACCGCCGCGCCCCGGACCGCGAAGGGAAGAACAAGCGCGGGCTCCGGAGGGTAGGCCTATCCGGCTCATGCGTGCCTCGCGACGTGCTTCAACTTTGGTCGCAAATGTAGGTCCTACTCATAGTCAGATTTTGATCAGCGCTCATCAGCAGTATGTCCTTACAGTCCATCATCTCTGCAGTCTTGCTTGCGGACACCCTCTTCACTGTCGTCCTTTGTCTACCCCGATCATCCGGAGCCAGCGCATTCCTGGCCCTACTGACACGGGATAAGTTGAGCGGCACACCGGCTGTTACGATCACCCCGACCTTTCTCGCCGGTGTCTTGCTCGTCACCGTGGGGACGTACGTGCGAACGCAATGCTTCAACGAACTTGGACGTCTGTTTACCTTCGATCTGGCGCTCCGCGATAGACACGAGCTCGTGACTACCGGCCCTTACTCAGTTATTCGCCATCCGGCGTATCCTGCGCGATTTGCCGTCCTTTTGGGCGCGTCTATGTGCACTTTTCGCAGCGGATCGTGGTGGAAGGAGACGGGCCAGGGGAACGTGATGATGGGGAGGCTCGTGTTGGCGGCGTGGATGGCCATGATAGCCCGGGATGTTGTGGTTCTTCTATTCGTGATGATACCCAGGGAGGAGAAGATGTTGCGCAAGGCGTTCGGAAAGCAGTGGACGGACTGGGCCTCGCAAACGAGGTATAAAATGATACCAGGTATCTGGTAGCCGGCATAGTGTACGAATACATACTTTCGCCATCCCGAAATGTGGAGTTGCACCACCGAAGAGCCGACTGTTCTGTCCGTTGCTCAACCGTTGCTACCGGCCACCTCTAGCTAGTGATGCCGCGGCTCGGTTCAAAGCCCGTTCCGGACCGAGCCGAGTCGATGAAAAGCCCGATTGATGAAAGCCGGGCCAATATTTTCGGAGCCATGAGCGATCAATGCATTTAGCTCGCCCATCCAGTGAAACGGTTTCATTTACAAGTAATCTGGCTTGAGCCATCTCCTAGCGACGTCAGTGCTCAGGCACTTTCGG